CCGGGCCCTGCTCCCTCCCAGCTTCTTGTGCACCTCCTCGCTGGCAGAGTGCGGGAAACTGAAGAATCCTTAACTTAGGATAAGTGCCACTTTGCAACAACTAAAACATCCGTGTGTTATCAACATTATTCTTAAATGAAATCCAAAACACAGCACTGTACCAGCTACTAGGAAGAAAACTAACCAACTGGTGTCTTAGGTAAATACACAAGATTTAAGCTGTTAAACAGTTGCCTGGCACCCACCCCACCACACTGCACACACTGAGAGGTTTTTAGCATTAGTATTTTTCTTACTTTACCTGCCCAGGCTCATGCCTTCATGCAGAAGGGCCTGGGACACCGGGAGGGGCTCCAGCCCTTTGCAAAAAAAAAAAAAAAAAAAAAAGCTACAAAAAAGCAGATTCTGATGAGGCATGCCTAAGTAATATTATTTCGGGACTATGTTGAAAGCCTCAGGCTAATTATTAATTCTCTGAGTCATTTGTTTTTGAACAATCCTGTAGAGAAAGGCGTCCGCTGTAACGTAGCAGGTGCCTACAATAATGTGTTTTACCTGCTGCCGCGTGTTTCACGCCACCGGGCAGTTTGCTGCCAGCCCGGCCCGGCTGTGCGGGGGCTCACGGGGGTGTCGGGGTTTGCTCCCCCGCCAGGCCCAGCCTGCAGCCCCCCCCGGGGTGGCAGTTCCCCCCCCTCCACCTCCAGCCCCCCCCCAAGCCGCCGCAGCCCCCGGCGCCGCGGCCTGAAGCGCTGCCGGGCTAATTTGAGCCAACCCGGTGGTGTCGGGTTTAGCAAATTACTCTTGCTAATCAATGCAAAATCAAGTAGGTTATTTTATTTCTAATTTGAGCTGCTCCTTGTGTGCACCCCGGACCTGTACCCTCCGCCCCCCCCCTCACCCGCTGCAGGTATATTTAGGTGCAGGTGTATTTTGGGCTGGCTAATTTGCCATACTTGGAAGGAAAAAAATGATGCGAAGGTGCTTTCCAGCACGTACCTGTACGGGCCTGGGGTCCTCACAGCGCGGCTGGGCTCCTGCACAGGGGAGGCAGCATAACCCACCCAGGCTGTGGCTGCCTCCGAGCAGGAAGGAGTGGCAGAGGGAAGAGTCTGTTTTCCTATTTTCTGAGCCTTTTTTTCTTAAATAAAACATTTGTCTTTTAGTATTTCTTAGATACGGAGCAGTACAGGGAAGGGCACTGCTACAGGAATGCTGGCAGCGACAGCCTGGCACTGCCATTTTCATCCACATCCTCAGATTTTCTTACATCCCAAAGCCCCACCACCAGTCTCCAAATACATTTGGCCCCATCTCGTCCCCTGTCTGTCTCTGCGTTTCCCAATTTACAACTTGCTGTTGGAGCCCCGCCGGCCCTGGGCTGGACCCACCGGGAGCAGTGGGCGCTGCCCAGCGGGGAGGGCGGGAGGGCTCTGGTCGGGGATGAGTGTGTGTGCCGTGGGGTGTCTGTGTGTCCTGGGGTGTCTGTGGGTGCTGTGGGGGGTCTGTGTGTCCTGGGGGGTCTGTGTGTGCCGTGGGGGGTCTGTGTGTGCCGTGGGGGGTCTGTGTGTGCCTTGGGGTGTCTGTGTGTGCCGTGGGGTGTCTGTGTGTCCTGGGGTGTCTGTGTGTGCCGTGGGGGGTCTGTGTGTGCCGTGGGGTGTCTGTGTGTCCTGGGGGGTCTGTGTGTGCCCTGGGGTGTCTGTGTGTGCCGTGGGGGGTCTGTGTGCGCCCTGGGGTGTCTGTGTGTGCCGTGGGGTGTCTGTGTGCGCCCTGGGGTGTCTGTGTGTGCCGTGGGGTGTCTGTGTGTGCCCTGGGGTGTCTGTGTGTGCCGTGGGGTGTCTGTGTGTGCCGTGGGGTGCGTGGTGACTCCCTCTCATGGGGACAGAACACGCTGAGCTGCTCTCAGCACACAGACCAGCGCAGTGCAGCCCCCCAGGAGAGCTGGCAAGGCCAAGGGACCTAGGCTGCGAAAGGGCTGTTAAAAATAAACAATTATCTTTTTTTCAGTGTTTTGTGTTTTTTGCGGGCTGGTCTGTGTGGTCACGTGGACCAGGGCCCTTGGTTGAAGGCACATGTGGCTCCTCTTCAACTTTGAGGCTAGTGTACCTATTTTGCAGCTGTAAGATTTTCGGCGGGGCCGGAGCCTTCCTTAGTGCCAGCATCACCAGTTCCCCTCCTTCCCCTCCTCCAGCGGTCGCGCGCCCCGGGAGGACACGGCCGGCTTCACCGCAGCTCAGCCACGCTCCGGTCTGTCCCCGTTCACCGGCCCCGATGCCGCGCAGCCTGCACACAACCTCTCGGTCACGGAGACCGGGAGAAGTGCCCGGAGACTGACCAAATTTAGCCATGAAGGTCCCTTCCTTTAGCAAGGGATGAAGGCGTTTTTACCAACGACAAGCAAGTCTTGCTTAGAAACCCGGCAGCAGAGCAGCTCCCCAGGGCCCCGGGAGCGACAGCTCCAGCCCACGGCCGCTGCCGGGCTCCCCCCAGGCCGTGACAGGAGGTTTCTCTGGGAAGAGCCTTTCCCGGAGCAGCAGGGTGCTGGCGGGCACCAGGGCCAGCAGCAACACCAGCCCAAGGGCCGGAGGGGTCGGGCAGGCTGGCAGCAGCCCTCTGCCAGCCCTCGCTGCGAAACTGGACCCACGGCTGAACTGGGAGGAGCGAGGCCAGACCACGAGTGGGACGTTTATCAGCCAGGCTCGAAAGAAAGACACAAAAAATTGGGAAGGGAAGGTCTCCCATCTCTTTTGGCTGCTTGTAGTGAGAAGCAACACGCCATCGAAAAGGCTCCGTGTAGCGGGGTGCATTCCTGCTGCCCCCCCAAGGGAAGCCCATTTGTAAGGTCTCATTTTCCCCCGGGGGACGAGCTGGGCACGGGGTGATGCCACGGCAGAACTGGCCCCAGGCAGGTCCCAGCCAAGCTTGGACCCCAAAACTGTGGCCTGGGCAGGCTGGTGCCGGGCTGAGGGGTGTGCAGTGGGGGCTGCTCTGCCAAGAGCTGGGGGGAGCCCAAGGGCAAAGTCCTTCAGCCCGTCCCACCAGCACTGCAGCTGCGCCACAAGACTGGCTGGAGGCAGGAGAGGAACAAACCCCCCCCCCCCCCCCCCCCCCCCCGGTGCGGATCGCTGCTTCAGGCACAGAGCTCTGCCCTGCCCAGTTCACGTGGGGCAGCGTGCTACCACATCTGTCACCACCCCCACAGCTCTGCCCTCCACATCCCACGCCGACTCCGCTCTACAAAAAGTGCTGAGCGAACGCAAAGACAGCGGGAGCCGGCGTTGGGCTGGGGGTCCCAGGCCATTCCTAACTTTGCAAGTAGCGCAAGACGCTACGAACAATGAAACGACTGCTGCCATGGCCTCGCTAATGGCTCTGGACACACTCTGGCCTAATCTTGGGGATCAAATAATTTCAGCAATGACCGGTTGTGCCAGGTTGTGGTGCCAAGGCTGTGGCAGCAAGGGGCTGCGGGGGGGGGGTGGGGGTTCTGCCAGAAGACACCAGGCGCTGCTCCTGTGTCGGGCTGAGACAGTTCCACCCCACTCTGAGAGACTCGCTGCTGGGCAAGGCCGAGCCCAGAGCGACAGAGGTAGTGCCTCTGGGATAATGTATTTAAGGAAGAAGAAAAAAAAACCCACACAACTGCAGCCAGAAGGGTGAAAAACAACTCTGCAGACACCAAGGTCAGTGCACAAGGAGAGGGATGAGGTACAAAAGTCAGGAGTAAGGCTGAGCCTGGGAAGAACGGAAGAGTGGGGGAAGATGTCTTTAGATTTGCTCTTTTCCTCATTATCCTGCTGTTTCACTGACAATAAATTAATTTCCCCAAATCAAGTCTGGTTTGCCCATGACGGTAACTGGTAAGCGATGGCCCTGTCCTTATCTTGACCCGCAAGCTTCCCAACATATTTTCTTGCTCCGTGGTGTTGATGGAGGGGGGGTGCCAGAGCAGCTTGGCAGACACCTGGCCATGGTGAACCCCCCCACTTCGACTGAAACAAGGGTCAGTGCTGGTGTCTGCCCAGCCACAGGCTCTGCCCCAACCTCGTCCCTGTCCAGCAGCACATTGGAGAATGCACTTTTATTAGAGTGGCTGTGGGCAAACAGTCCCTCCGCATTAAGCCATACAACACAACACTTCTATTTAGGGCTAAAGACCTTGCTGGCATCTAATTAACACAGAGACTTTGCAATTTATTGCACAGCAAGACCGCAACACACTCAGGTACGGCGCAGCACTAATTCTCATCCCAGCTCTCCGACAGGCCCAGCCCCACGTGCCATCAGGAGGCAGGTGTGAAGGAGAGCAGCTAAAAGCCCGCAGCGCTCCCCAGCACCAGCCCTCCGCAAACAGCAACATCCACGAACAGAATCGTTTGTGACACCTTTCTTACCACAGTTTTTTATGTTTGTTTTCAATGCTTTAATAAGCTTCCTTGTGTTAAAAGAGCATAGCTTCTCCCAGGAGGCCAACAAGACATGTTTGGGTAGCTCAGGTTGCCCAAGTCGCATGTAGAATAAGGTATAAATTAAATCTAACTTAATGGGAATTCACAGCAGGGAAGGTCTGCCACAATTTAAGGGCAGCTTTCTGCCCCTTCTGCCTCAGCCCCCCACAGCAGTGCCGGTTACACGGTAACAACTCATATATGTCTGTCTATTTCTGTGTACTTTGTTTCACCTTCCCTGTATTTTATGCAAAGCCCTTCAAGACTTATTTCATCGAGGTAGAGTTTACCTCGAGTTTTGGTAACTACACAACAGATTTGACGTAGAGTATCTGCTAATGGAGCCAAAACGTGCGTACACGGTGTCCCCCAGGTCTGTGGATACAGTGCCTGCCTACAACAGTAGCGGTCCCGCAGGTGCAGAGGTGTCTCAGCTGACAGAAGAGGTTTCCTGTCATATCACTGCGAACCAAAATGCTTAAGTTTAAATGCAGCATGCAAGACACAGCAGCTCATGCGTGAGGTCAAGCTCAAGAATATTCCCATTACTATTGATAAAGACTTCGTGATCACTTTATTAAAACTGCATTAGCTTGGGTTTTGCCAAAATTATTTACACAGAAGTATCCTGCCCAGAGAGAAATGATACAACTCTACCTGACTTTTGGAGTATTTCATAGAAGATGGCTTCACAGGCTTCGGTGTGAGATTTGATAAATGCCTGCTACAGGCACATACAGCTGCTGCATCCCATCTCTGTCAGCTTACCGTGTTCTAAACGCGCTCACCACCACTCCTCTGCTAAGAAGGTACCAAAAGAAACACAGCTCTGCTTCCTGCCCATTAAGACTCCCTCCCCTGCGAGGAAAAGCCTGGCTAATTTAAAAGGGCTCCTTGCAACGGAGAGTCACCATACTCCTGAAGACAGGAGTGCAGGGACTCCCCAGAAAATGAAAGGCAGTGGTTTGTGATCAGCACATGAAAACAGAAGTACCTGATGAGCTGCTCACATCCGCTGCCTGAGCACCGGCCTGCAGGCAGCCGAGAGGGAGCTTTGCCTCCCACCTGCCTCCATAAACAGGCTGGGCTGGCTACCGTCACCATCCCTCTGCCCTTCCGCAGCGACAGCAGCACAGAAGCCTATGATTTATGTTTGCATGCTGTCCTATTTAACAGTACTCTCCCCCTGCACGCGGGTTCTCACTCGTCCAGTTTAACGAAGGCGTTCCTCGGGTGTTCAGCCTTGGGAGCCCGCGGGGAACGCCGGCCAAGCCTGGGATGAGAGCAGGGCCCCGGCCGCACGGGACAGCAGCCTGCGCAGTGCGTGGTGGTGGGGGGCACCGAGGGGAGCTCTGCTGGACTCCAACAGCCAGCATGACTTTTTTCTTCCATGTAAAATGTAGTTATTAAAAAAACACCTTTCCCTTGAGAAATAGTTTGGTTCAGCCCAACACTGACACCCCAGAGCTGGTGACAGGGAGAGTCCATAAATGAATGTCCTGTGCTTCAGATTTCATCTCATGTCAGTCTTCCCTGAGGAAAATGCTCTTCATCCTTAGGCACAGAGGGACTTGCGGGGCTGTGGGCTGGGCCTGAGACTCTTTGGGAGCTCACTGTGAACCAGCCAGAGCACTCCTTGCATTTCACTCTTCTCAGGGAACGTACGTCCTTCCTGCAGCCAGGCCGGAGCGTTTCAATGATGCGGAGACAACACCCCCAGGCACTGCCATGGCTGTCTCTGCTCACAGTCACTTCTTGCTTGGCTTCACAGAATGAGGCTTCCTTTCCAAGAATCTCGCCACCAAGTCCCCCCATCTTCTTAGCACCGTGCTGAGGCCCAGCAATACAACTAGGTAAAAGACTTAACGATGCTTACCATGTGATCAACTCCACAGGCAACTTCCACCACCTCCCCGGGTACAGTCACCTGGATCAGACACACAAGAGTGGATTATTTCTCAAGCTGGCACTTTGCACCTGATACTTCCTATTTCTCATCCTCCTCCTTAACAAGCCAGTTGGTTTCACAGGGACTTGTACCAATGAAAGTGCCATCTTGAAAACCCAGAGAAAGCAAGATTCAGCACCAGACATGCTTGTGCATCGAGCTGTGAAATACTCCCCTCCTCCCTTCACAGAAGGGCACAAACCTTTGGAAGGACAAAAAGAGAGGGCTCACTAGCAGACAGTGGGGAGACTGTAGCCTCAGCCCATCTGTTCAGCAGCAGAAACAGCATGACCGAACAGAGCGTAATCCAGACTGCAGGAAGAGGATCTGCCCAAGCACCACAAGGACTTGTCTCCTCTCATCAGCAAAGACTGGAACGAGGCAAAAGCTCAACTTAGCCTAAGGCAGCTTTTGCTTTGATGCTAAGCAGACCCAGTTCACTCACTAGCGTAGTTGTAGCTCTTTCACTTAAAGCTGACTTCAAACTCAAGGAAAGCAGAGGCTACAAATGCAAGTTTCTCCTTAGAGCTAAGCGACAGGAGCAGTGGCTAGTTCTAAGGCAGGAGGCCACAGACAAGTATCCTGGTAACTGCTCTTGCTGCGGTGCGTTGCTGTACTAGTGTCAGACAGTGTTGGCTGTTTAAGGGAGCACAACCCTCAAGGTCCACACTGAGGGAAACTTGGACGTGCCACGCCTGGTGAATTCAGAAACTCCACTCAGCCACAGCAGTGTGATTTTAGGCAAATGCTCCTGAGTCAGTCTTTTTTTGTTCATTTTTAAAAGGAGGAGAAAGCATACTAAAGAAACACATCCACTGCAAGTTCAGACACATGGAAAGGGACTCCAGGGTGGCCCAGCTGATTGCCTCCCTCCTCTCCTACTTGGCCTTCATGGAGACTGGGAACATCTGTTAGGCTGAGCGCTGAACTCCAGAGCCAAAGACTCTTCTACACCCACAGAGTCTGGCTCTCGGAGCCATCTCCGAGAAGGGAGTGGAACTGGAAGCGTTGCAAAACAGCTATGAAAATAGTTCAGTGGCTAAGGATCTCCTACTGTAACTACAGTCAGTCCAGTGACCCACTGCCACAGCTGCCTGACCTGGAAGAGGAGCAGGGGAAGGAAGCCCACTGCTATGTGGACCTGCTGTCCCTATAGTCAGACTGCCATGACCAAAACGTTCACCTAATTGAGATGTGTAATGCACACCTTTTGGGTCACAGATGACCAATGCTAGTGGTTTTCTCTGCAGCATGTGCAAAAGTGAAGTGCGGGTTAGAAGCGGAGGGAAGAGGCAGTAAGGGGTAGCAGGTAGAAGCCTGTGAACAGGAGATAAGAGCTGTTCAGATGTGAGATGGCACGACACCAGGTGTTGCTTGGGAGCTGAAATCGGTACTGAAATAACAGACTAAGAAAATGACTGAATTGCTTCATCCCTAAGCGGGCTACACGAGGACCTCTGTAAAACTAAACAGTCATCTTAGGCTTCCACCTCTTTCAAAATTACTCAACAAAATCACACAGCAAATGATGTTTCTTGCCCTCAGGATAACAAAGACTAGCTAAATAATATACTCTTGGCCTTAATACTACCATCCTTACCCTCCATGGGAAATACTGGTCTTCCATTCTTCCAGTTCCCAGGCACCCTCTTAGATTCTTGCCCCATACAAACAGTTCTCCTCTGTCTGTACAGGGAAAAAAAGAATAAAACAGGGCAGAGTCATTAAAATGGAAGAATTCTGTTTGTGATACAGGCAAGTGCAGCTATAGTGCTTCTGGGAGTATAAAGGGTTATACATGCAGTATGAAGGCCATCCAGTTTAGTCCCAAGTACAATAAATGTACTTGTGCTTGGGGAAAATGATGCCTAATGAGCAGGACAAGCAGCAAGTTCTGAGCACAAGTCTTTGCTTCCCCTTCTTACAGCTCTTGCTTTGGAATTTTATTTGAAGAAAGAGTGCAGCAGAAGAGATTCCAGGGAATCATTTTGTGGTGAAGTGAATCATTTGTACTGGAAGTTAGACAATTACAGCTGACCCACATCAGCTATCAGCACAGCAAATTGGGTAAGCAAGGCAGTGAAACCTGTCCCAAGCTGTCACCTGGAGACCGGTTATTCAGCTGCCTGACAGAAGTGACCTTCCAATGACAACTAGCAAGGAGAAAAAAAATCTGTGTTCAACCGAGCTGGAGAGTTTTAAGATCCTCAGCAAAACATGTAGCTCTCACAAGTGTTCAGATCAGCCCCACAGCAGAGACAACCAAAACACGATCTATAAATACAATTTCATTGGAATGCAGTTTCTAACGCTTACTGAATACCAAGGGGAGACCAGTTACAAGCACCCTGACCAGACTGACAGTCCTCAAGAACCAAGCACATTGGCACCTGGCACTTTTCATTAGTAAACTATTACTTTTGCTACCAAGCATGTGGGTTTTCTGTGCTGCTGCCCTCTGCTGCCCACTTCTATGTGATTTTTCAAATTCAAAACTTCCTTTAAAGGCTGGTATCAAGTACAGGGTGTACATACAAGAGTGTCAATCCCTTCGCATGTTCAATGTGTAGGTCTTCCCACCTGCTAACTCAATTGGTCAGAAATGCCAAGAAACCCTGACATCTAGCTCTGCTTTAGACTCAGTTTTAGTTTGTTCACTTATCACAAATTCCTGCCTCTTCTAAAGTGCACCTGATTGACTTATTTCGTATAAGGAAATGAAAAAAAAAAAACCTTCCCAGGTTTCCTGTTTGAGAGAAATTTTTTGTTTGGTTTAGAAGACACTTTCTCAATTAAAGTATGCATTAGTGCAGTACCTACATTAGAAACCACGCTGACACCTGTAAATGTGCTGCTCACCCCTCCTGCTGCATTCCAGCGTGCTTTGAAGTTTAAAGAAAGAAGAGTGCTTTTTTTAGTTTTCTTTTAACTGCCAATAATAAGGCAATGTGACTTCTCCATGACAGTAGGACTAGAAACTTACTTGTCAGTGCTGCAAACTGGCTGAGTCCACAGCGAATGTGAGCAACACGGATGTCCGGATTGATGTCTGACTGGCCAAAAAGGCTGGGTGGGATCATCTCTGGCACTGCTGTCTCTATTAGGTTTGGTCCTTTCCCAAGAATTCCATATCCCCAGACAAAAACATTTCCTTCTTCTGTATTACAATAAGAACACATTCTGTAAGAAAGTCTGTGCTTGTGAAATTCATGCCATGACCAAAACTTAATCAGATCCAAAGGGATATTTTCATTTCTCCCAGAGCAGTCTAGCACCTTTTGATTATTTAAAATTTGCAAACAATGCATTCATATCCAAATGCCTTCATTTTTTCCTAAGCTGTACAAGCAGATCAAGCTTCACAGGCAAAACTTTCATAAGGAAATAATGCCAACACAGCGTGGGCTGCATAAAATACTTCAGCTCACTGACTGATGGGACAGAGGTTGAGTGTTTTATTATCATTGCTTTTCCCTTTGAGGCACAGCCAAACCAGCAGTGGGCTAGTCACTTTGCCTGGCATTCTGCCTTAAACTGGGTGCCTGGGAAAGGCAGCAGCTGGACAGCATAAGACAGAGTAAGTTGCTACGTTTGCTAGCTCTGCCTCCTTCACGCTAGAAACTCAAATGTCTCATCATCATGACGACCACATCATATAGATGATCGTCTTCCTTGAGATGATCCTTCATAAAACTAGTACAATCCCCTCCCTCATTCCTTTACTCAGTGACTGTCAAGCTGTGTTCCCCTGGCCACTGTCAACCCGAGGCAGCATTCACCAAGAAGCCTGCTGCAGAGTCTCACTGTTCTCAGAACTCTCTACTTTCCAACCTAGTTTATCAAGATTTATTCACATGTCAGATTTGTATTGAGTCTGAAGGGCTCTTCTTTCTCTCAAGTGTTGCCTTCCTTCCTCCCCATAACCATCTCCATTACAGGCCACACATGGCCTGTGTGATCAGCAAAAGAGATCAGAACCACAAGCAGCAACCATGCTCTTGTTCTAGTTTGCGTAAGCACTCACAACAGCACATATTGGAAGTAATGCTCTGCGGCTAGTGAAAATAACTCCCCTGGTACATTCTTAAATCACAGGTTTCTCAGTCTCCCAGATTTCCTCATAAGAGACAGTACTTTCCTGTTTCCAGTAAACAAGAGGTTTGCTCCATGATGTTATAACTGACCTACTGCATGGCTTTGCACTAAAGAGGATGTGAAAGCAAACTCACCCGTTAGCACAATATTTCCAGTCCCTCCACACGCAGCCTCCTTTATCTTCCCAATCTTGAATGGCAAATGCCTGGGAACATTCACCTGTATGAGGTTGCAAGAGAGTTGTTAAGGACAAGGTAAACTGCAAACCAGACACACATTTGTAACTTGTCCTCTAGTTCTGGTTAGAGCTTCCATATACTAAATTCCTGAAACAGACAACCTTAACTGCCTGAATAACAGAACAAATGAACAAATGCAAGTCCCAAGATTAAAAAAACTACATGAAATTCATTAAGGCTGAGACTACTGACCAAGTAGAAGGAGTTACCCACTGAAAAGCTTACATGCATGGCAACAAAGCTGGGAAGGCTTAACATCTGCTTATATCACTGGCTCTCTAAGTCAGACACGATGGGAAAGTTAGTAAGTGAGCACACTTGCAAGTTTTGACAATGGACAAGATCACTAAAATTTGCTCCGCGGTGGCCTTTCCGAACATACTAGGGAAAAACCACTCAAAGATAATCACTCTCGTTTGGTACAAAACCTAAACAACTTGACACGTGTAAACAGCGATGTCAGATTTCACAGATAATATCCAGCTCTGAAATTCCACAATTTGGACTTGCACCTAAATATTGTACCTACAACTCCTGCTTTGACAAACATGCCACTCATCCATTTCAGACCCCTCTGACCTCCAGCAAGCACCCAGCGAGGAAACAACTACACTGCTTAACCTGGTCATTGTCTTCAGGTCTTATGAATCTCAGTAATTAGCTCTTCAGTAAGGATACATCAGGAAAGGCATGGGAAACAAAGGTATATATTTTACTAGAGCCATACTAATGCAATTGTCTGCTCTTAGCCTTCTGCCAAGAATAGCTTGAGTATTAATTAATTTCTTGACTCCATTTACTACACTAACTGTAAAAGCAGACCATCTGCCTAATCACCTCAGTACTACAATGCTTAGTGTCAAGTCAGCACTATATTTTTGCCCCACATAGATTTGATCCAAAATCCTTTTGCCTGTGAGACAATGGGATTTGTTCAGGACTCAGCTATAAACCTATTAAGGTTGTTCATGAAAAATTCACCAACATACAGGTTGATTGTCAGGGACTTCCAGGGATCATCTGGACCAGCACCACGCTCAAAGCAGGACCACTCGGAATTCTAGACTAGCCAGCCATAAGACTAATTCCTGTCTGAAACCAGCACAAGTACTTGAGCTGGATCCCAATTTGGTGCAAAGTCCATGGTATGGGGAAAGGAGAACATGGGGTATATTTTTTTGATGTTTGTAACAGACTAAAACTGGGGTGAGGGGACACAAGCCTTTGCCTATCAATAGCTGGGGAACATACTGCCCTAAAGCTCTACAAACATTTCAGACAGATCGGTTTTGTAAGCATATGTAAAACTACTAGTGGTGTTAGTTTATTTTGATTTATACTGTTGTCAAAAGAACCCAGAGCAGGAACAGGTGTGTAATTTTTAACCCTGTGAGTAGGATCTGAACTGAAACATGTCAAAACACGCCCCCAGGCCAACTTACCTGTGTGGTTTCTGTGACTGATGCCAACTGCAAGTATTCTGAATTTCCCCAACCAAAGACATCTCCTTCATCTGAAACAGCCAGACAACAGTCCCCATAGGAAGAGACCTGGACAATGTTTACTCCAGCAATGTCACCACATAGCTTAGTAGGAACACTGGTGATGTTGTAATGCCCAAGACCTGGAAGGAAAAAAAGTAGAGAGATGATGAAGAAATTTTTCCAGACATACTTTTAATAACTACACAAACCGTGAAATGAAAATCGGGAAGGCAAAGCCTGCACAGAATCAGGGAGCTAACCTTCCCCAGCCACTTCCACAGCCCCTCACAAGCTTTAAACAGTAGACACATTCTCCTCAGATTGCATGCCTGAATTGCGAGCGTGGCATCCTAGGATTGCCAGTGTGGCATCCTAAAGCTCCAATAAAAGTGAACTAGCTTGTCCCTGTTTGGTTACACAAAAGTATTGAGAACATCTGCACATAGCTGCATGTACCAGCACCTTTCTGTCCATACATGCACGACAAATACACATTGCAAGCTCTGAATTAGGACAGCTTGCTATATTCATCAATTCACCGAAATGCTCCTACCTGTTTGTCCATCAGCTCCCCATCCACATGCATAGACTGCACCTTTCTTGGTTCTAAACAGGCTGTGGTCCTGCCCACACACAACCTGCACACAAACAAAAAGTCAGAGCAAGTCAGAAAAGGTCACATGTTCAGAATTGATTTAACTAAGCATTACGGGCAGACAAATTTGAGTAATGAACCTCTACAATGCCCATCAGCTCAGATTTTCACCTTTCTCCCCCAGTCAAATGGCTGCACAGACAGGGAAGGCTAAAAACAGCACAGTACAGCACAGAAAACAGCAGAATTTTCTTTGGGGAAAGCGATGCTGCAGTTGATTTGTTCTGAGATCTAAAATGAGGCCTAGTTAACAGAGAGCTCGATTCAACAGTACAACACAATAAAACAGCAAAGAGTAAATAAGAGATCTCCCTTCCCAGAGTGCTACCACATGGCGCTCAATGCCAGCTACAAACTGCTATTGATTCCTTGCCATGTAAGCGCTCTAGGAACACATCTGTTCTCAAACTGACATTTACATTGAACTAGCAATCATGTCTGCCATAGGCTTGGCAGGAATTAAAGCCAAGATCTTCAAAAGCAGACATTAAAAATTTGCCAAAGATTAAAGGAATTTAATCCACAAGTTAAGAGTGACTACCAAGAATATTAAGCACGTAACTGTTATCATCAAAGTACAAACAGGTACCAATTGTTGAACCCCCTTGAAAAAAATAAAATAATGAAAAATCCAAACAGAAGTTTACAAGCCCAATTCAACACGTCATTAGGATGTACCACAGCACACTCTCATCACGTGGACCTAAATGAATGACCCTTGCTTTCTAGGATGCTGCATGGAGCAGGAGCAATGTTTGCCCACGGAATTCTGTTCCAGTTGCGTAACACGAGTGAAACTGCTCCGGTGCCTGGAAATACTGCAGCTGTGGGCAGATTCAGTGGCATTTATGCTGCCCTGCAGTCCCTTGCTCTCCTAGAAACCTGCCCTAGGGAAGTGCTGGCTAGTCTAAGTGGACAGTCTCACAGTTCATTTTTGAAATGGAGAAGACAAAGTTCAAAATAAAACCATTCCTAAGTGACATAAAAGTGACAAAGGGGAAAAAGAGCAGGAAACAAGGACAGGAAGGGATGAGGCATCAGAACGACCTCCCTGCCGCACCAACGAACGCGCTGCATCGGCATTCCCATCAAATTCTTTGGTAAGTTCAGACCCTGCATTGCCTATAACAACTGCTCTGAAGAGACATGGAGCAAAATGCCACCTTGCATTTTTTATAAGCAACCATATAGCAGACCACCTCGTCATTTCAAAGAGTTTCAACTGAATGATCTGCATACTGATTTTATTTTTTACATTACAGAATCACAGACTGGTTGAGTTTGGAGGGAACCTCTGAAGATCGTGTGGTCCAACCCCCCCCCCTCCACCTCAAGCAGGGCCACCTACAGCCAGTTGTCCAGGACCATATCCAGATGGCTTTTGAGAATCCCCAAGGAGGGAGAGTACACAACCTCTGGGAAACCTGTGTCAGTGCTCAGTGTCTCCCAATGTTCTGAGGGAACCTCCCGCGTCTCTGTCTGTGCCCACTACCCTCTTGTCCTGTCACCAGACACCACTGAAAAGAGCCTGGCTCCATCCTTGTTACACCCTCCCTTCAGGTATTTATACACATTGCCAAGACATGCCCCCAGCCTTCTCTTTTACTGGCTAACAGTCCCAGCTCTCCCAGCATTTCCTCGCAGGAGAGATGCTCCAGTCCCTTACCTTGATGGCCCTTTGTTGGACTCTCTCCAGTATGTCCATGTCTCTCTTGTACTGGGGAGCCCAGAAATGGACGCAGTAGTCCAAGTGTGGCCTCACCAGTGCTGAGTAGAAGCGATGGACCAACTCCCTTGACCTGCTGGCAACACTCCTCCTAATGCAGCCCAGGAAACTGTTTGCCTTCTCTCCAGCAAAGGCACTCTACTGGCTCATGGACAACTTGGTGTCCACCAGGACCCCCTGGGCCTTTTCTGCGAAGCTGCTTCCCAGCTAGTCGGCCCCCAGAGTACAGCAGTGCCTGGGGCTGTTCCTCCCCTGCTGCAGGACTTCACCCTTCCCCTTGCAGAACTTCATGACGTCAGGCCGTTTCTCCAGCCTCTGGATGGCAACACCACCCTCTGGTGTATCAGCCACTCCTCCCAGTTCCCAGTTTTCTGTCACCTGTAAACTCACTGAGGGGACACCCTGCCCCATCATCCAGATCACTAGTGAAAATGTCAAACAGGATCGGATCCAGTAATGACCCCTAGGATACAGCACTAGCTACTGCCATTCAACTAGTCTTTGTGCCAACAATTACTACTCTTGGCTGTTCAGCCAGTTTTCAATCCACCTTCAGAATTCAGTTCAGATGAATCTCTTACCTGGACAACTCTGCTGTCAAACTCCCTCAGCTGATGAATTAGATGGCTTTCACTGGACACCACCAAACAACCACCGAGAAGAGAAAAGGCAACACAGAGGATTTCAGAGAACTACAACTGAAAAATGTGAAGGTAGACCTGCCTTTACTGAAATCCACTTTGCTATTATAAGAGAGATTCTTTCACATGTTCTCTTATATATTCAAAGAGCATAGTTCCACTGCAAAATTACTGCACAAAGAAGGAAAGTCATTTTGCATTCTCTTATTTAAGAAGTTAAGAACTGTCACTTTTTAAATATAACCTCTCATGGGAAATGGGGGTGGGAGCAATCCTCAAATACATTCCCTAGTCTAGAATGAGCACAGACACCAGATAATACTGCAGCACCTACACAAACACTACACTTAACCAGAGATTAACCAGATATCCCAGAGTACAAACAGTGTAGTCTTAACATCCATGGCATACTTTCACAAAAATAGGAATTCTGAACAATCCAATGACTAAATTCCAGTATCAAGGCAAAAAAAAAAAAAAGCTAGCTAAATTACAGCTATTTTCTTAAACTCCATAGGCCAAGTCTTGTGGATCATGGAGAGTGCAATGAGAAAGACCTCCTCTAGGCCCTGCCAGGGAATCAGTAACTTTCAACATATTCCCACTATTCACTTACATCACTACTATCTTACAGAACATTTTGAGAATATGCTTTGGTGTAGCCCAAAAAAAGCTTGTGAAGGAAAAGCACTGCAGATTCAAAGGCAGTTACAGCAAAGAGATTCAACAGAAGGATGGCTCTTTCATCATTAAATTTCATTTCTAACACCCTCAGAAATAGAACTTGCACTCTGAAAGGCTAAAGGGAGAAAGACTGACGACTAACACCGATTACCTCAAGCAATTTATGAAGGTTGAGTTTTCTCACTATGCCCTGCAAAAACTCACATGCTGCCATCTTTGCCTTTTGTGAATGTGGTCACAAGAGTGCTAGTGCCCAGACTGGTTTTGTATGCCTGCAGCATATAAGCTTGTTCTCAGACTCCTTAATCTTATCTAGTATCCTTATACTACCAGACTGTTCCCACCTCCAGGCTTTTCTGTAGGGTAGTTTTTATGTAATTATGTTTTTAACATTAACGAAATTAAGCTTCGATTACTTTGGATCTCACCTGTAAGTTTCATCTTCAACAACTTTCCGGCCACACTGTCCATAAGAATTGTTCCCCATTGTGAAAACTGAAAAACAATGATAAAACGCACTAGCTTTATTACTGTCCAATCCCCTGGAAGCCTCTTTTCAGGTACACGAAATATTTTCATGTGGTCCTCAGTATGAAAGGTGGAACACAGTACTGTAAAAACTGGCATAAGCTTTCTTCAAATCAACCCCACTTAAATTCAAGTGACTGAATCCATTTTTGTCAACAATATGCCAGTGACATTGTTGCAGGCACAGCAGCAGTACCTGGAGTCCATTGGCTGTTTTTCAGTAATTGCCTAGTTCATCCTGCCGTTGCCAAGGAGACTCAGAAATAGATCAGCGCTCCCACCGGAGCGTTAAATCAACCAACCAACCAGCTCACCCACTGATAAGCAGCACTGGATTGCTCAGCACAGCACTGAAACCACTGCACCAGAGAATTCCCAGAGATGTGGAGGGACAATTCAAACACAGGATCTTCTGTATAAAGACCTATTAATTAATCGCTTTTATAAAGGTAGCACACTGGGGCGTCAAGGGGAAAGTAACACAGGAGTATTGGCACAGCCATCCAAAACGGAATTCGAAAACATGTCTGACTGAACAAGACAAATAGGCTACACTTAAACAAGGCCTGGGGCTAGATAAACAAATCATATTTTGCAACACTTGTAGTGAAAAAGCTTCCAACACATTTACAGCTTGAGCCAAGCAGAGCTCAACACACGGTTATCAGCTCAGGGCTCTTTCTCTCCCAGGAACAATCCCAAAAGGCCAACAGCTACCTGCATCCCATTTACAGTGCAGACAGCCCATCCGGGGCTTAGTTCTAAAGGACACAAGACAATCTTTTCTGGAGCTTTTAATAAGAGCACAGTCAGGCGTCCCTTGTCACCAGCACAATCAATACTATACCTCCTTCACTATCTGTCAGGATCAGGGAATGGGCTCTCCCACAGGACACCTGCAAGACTCGAGTCTGCTGCGGCTTCTCAAGTGGCAATGGAATTGGAGACGGTTCCAAGACATATTCATAGCCCTTAGCTTAAGGAAGAGAGAGAAATTTAAAAAGTCAGCAGATTCCACAAAGCAAATTCATCATATATTTACCAATCCTGTTGTACACACACACACTCACTTCTGTTTTGTTACAAAAGCAGATATATTTTAGAAAGCCAAGATACTAACCACACTAAAAAGCTGACTGGGATTCATCAGGCAGGGGGAGGGAGAAGTTAAAAGCCAGAAGGGAGGTTGAAGCCAATAATCACTGCCTAATCAAAGATCCACCATACCTAGAGGCTGAATGTTATTAAGGCTTCAGGTGGCCAGAACTGAGAAACTGGGGCTTTCAGCCATATGTTCAACCACTTTAGTGAGTAAGGCTGGATTACTAGAGAGATTAACAGCAAGCACAAACTAAGTACTCTGTGCAACTGGGGATACTGCAAACAAGGTACAATAGCAGCAATCACAAAAAGACAGCATGAAAGGTGAACAAAAAAAAATGTTAGGGCTTCATATTTAAAGAACAGTAGATTAAAGGCCCTTTCAGAAAAAAGGAATGCAAGAAACATTAGCTAGCCTGGCTCCATAGGGGATAAGAGATCTAACATTTACAAAATAAAATGACAGGCTGTACTAGAAAAAGATTTAGTAGCTTGAAGAATATGTAAAGAGTTACAGTCAACTGGGAGAAAAAAAGGGGAAAAAAAAAAAAAAAACCAGCAAAACATAAATCAGTACTAGGGAAAAGGTTAAGGGGAGATAAAAAGCTTTGATATCAAAGAAAGCCACTCTAACAAGTGAAATCAAATCCCAGGGGATCCAAAGCAGTATTCTGCTCACATGTATCAGTGCTTTAACTAGTTCTCACTGCCTTCAATTAAAACAAGCACAGAAAATTTACACATACCCTTTTACAGAAAGACATTACTTGATGCAGGAAAGGCATCAGAACTGGCTGCTTGCAAATGGTGGGAGCCTGCCACGCAATACAGCAGGAACTGAAAGGCAGCAAAGTTTGTAACTGTCTAAAGAGACCTGGAAGTCACAAAGCAAAAAACTTTTCCTCTCTCTCTGTTCCTTCCAGCAGAGACACAATCTACTGGGATCTGTGGTAATCATCATAGAGATCTGAGGGATTTAGGAGAAAAGAGGCAACGAGGTGGCTAAGGAACAGGAGGATGACAGTAAAAGATTAGCCTAGCTTAAAAACAGCTTGAAATTAGAGCATGAAATACAATCATCTAAAAGTCAGAAGGTTGCAAATTCCCCTGGTAACAAAGCATCTTCAGGGACACAGTGTTGGAAATAGCAGGTACCAAAGTAAGTTTGTAAAACTGAGTAACGAGCTGCACATCCAACAGAAAGCTTGTCTGTAGGAAGTTAAATATAGAGCAGTAGCAATCCCACTGATCTGCACTGCACTTTCAACAGATCCTACCAAACACCAAATGCTCTCTTTAACTTAGAGGGGCTTGAACTGCAAAACTATTTAACCTATTTCTAGATTTTCTGACAAAACTAATCTGCAGGTCAGATGAAAAACCAGAAAATGACAAGACACCCCAGAGACATCAGCACATACAGAACTAAGAGCCAAAACCTTTAAAAGAAGAAGCGAGTGGAGGCTTCTGCAGACCTTTCATTTTGCAGCTGCTGTTTAAGCACACACACTTGCTGCGTGCACACACCCTTGGAAACCTCCACAGTATGCTAGCAGCGATGCACAACAGCAGCACAGTAGCTGCAATTTTCTTTTGCTTCTCCACAAAGTTTAATCTTTTGCCCGTATCAGACACATCACCTTAATGGATTATGCTCTTACACACTATAAAAAGAAAAGCTGATTTTTAACATGTTTTTCCTCAACTGTTTATGGAGGAACATTTTCAAACAGTTAGAGACAGCCATTCTATAAGGGATGTAAGTTTGTGGTTTTCGTGTCTGTCTTAGGTGGAAGGCGGCAATGTTCTGCACAGAAATCATCACCTTAAATGTGTTTAAATGTGTTCAAGAGCCTGGTATAAGACAGAATGACTGAATAGCATGGGTTTTGCTCAAAATGCAATTTGGTATAAAGATAAAAAACCTCTACGACTTCACAAAAAACTCCACTGTCTATATAAAAAGATCTCTGTGGGAAAGGAAATCAGTTCATAGGTACAAAGGCAACAGAAGTGAGTGAACCATCTTGCCAAAAATAGTTTTATTTACTAATCCACTACACTGTCTACTATCAAACTACAGAGATTCAAAGCAACACCTTAACCAACACACACTTCTGCAAAATACATATAGTTACTTAGACTTTAGTTATATCCAGTAGGTGCAGTACATAGAATAGATGCATACCTTGACCAATTACAAAACACATAAAAACACACCTAAGTTACAAAAAAAGACTTTAAAAAAAAAAAAAAAAAAAACACAAAACACAGCCCTGCACTCTGCATCAAAGCCTCCCAGGCATTTTTCTTGATTTCTAACTCCAAGTTTCGTCCATCACTTATATCCTGTAGTGCTGCCCTGTAAGTTTTTGAAACACTTCAATTCTTACTTCGATCTCTTCTGCTTCTCTGGAATCCGAGCTGGGAATCCTTGTTAAGCCCCATGCCCCACACTTTGGTGATGTCCGTGGTGTTAGAGGACAGCAGCGTGAATCCATAACCGCAGGCAGCAGAGGATATCTTTGAAGACAAAGAAAATCCACACCATTTGGTTATAAACTGTGGCTTAGAAAAACAAGTTTCACCCCACTCTATTTGTCCATCAGCATTTATTAAACCAGATACAAACTCATAGTGAGTATGGTCTTTGCAAAAATGATCAGAAACACTCTTCAGTGACAATCACAATGGTTTAAACTCAAGGCCAACATTACTGCCTTAGAGTTTTGTTTTCAGATGTATACATCTTTATTTTTTGTATTACTTTGGATCCATTCAAACACAACAGGAAGACCTATTTGCTGACCTGTAACAGCAGCAGAGAAAAAAAACAAAACAAAAAAAAAACAAATACATATTAAGAGAATAACATTCCCGTTTTACTCGTCAAAAAAAAGCCCACCATAAAAGCTCTGACCTTCTTCGAAGGGGACAGCAGAGCATAATGACTGAAACACGTAGACAAAAGAATAGTATGATTTTCAATGCAAGCTTCCAATTTTGTCAAGGTGAGAGACAGGGAAAACGAGGCCCGCTTTCCCTGATAAATGCTGTTCACACCCTTGCTGCCTTCTGCCTCTGACAAAAGAATACATATATTTTCCAAATCGTCCGCTGCTGTAGTTATACTGCAAATCACCCTGATTCACATCCCTGTATCAATTAAAAAAAAAAAAAAGCAACGGCGGCAACGTTTTTCAGTCAGAAAGCTGCCTAACGCCTCCCGCAGCCGCCGGGACGACAGCCGCGGGCGAGGGGCTGCAGCCGCCGCCCCCGGGCCCACCTTTTCCTCCGTGTCCAGCCGGTAAGGCGTGGGCTGGATCCGCCGCGGCTTCTTCCAGCCCGCGTCCGGCTTCACGAAGCTGGGGACGCCCAGGGCGCCCGAGTAGCAGAAGCCCCACACGAAGACGCGGCCCTTGCGCTTGGCCGCCTTCCCCGCGTACTGGAAGACCGGGGCGGCCTCCTCGGCCTCCCTCAGCTGGCGGGCGCTGCGCGGGCCCGCCGGCTTGGCCAAGCCCCTGCGAGGGGCCGGCGGCGGCCGCGCAGCCCCCGGCGCAGCCCCCAGCGCTGCCCTCGGCGCCCGCCACATGGCCCCCCCCCGCCCGCCCGCGCCCCTCAGGCCGCCGCCATCTTGCCGCCCTCTCACCCGCGACCCGGCGGGGCAAGGACCCCGCGCATGCGCCCGGCCCACGTGCGGCGCGAGCCGTGGGCCGGTTGGGGCGCGCGACGATCTCGTCTTAAAGGGGCCATGGCTCCCGTGGCGGAGGGAGGGGCCCCGCCCAACCCAGACTCGGACCCAGACCTCGATCTAAACCTAAACCCGCTCCTAGGCCCAAACCTACACCCAGAGGCAAACCTAGACCCGGAGCCGGACCTAAACCCAGACCCAAATCCAAACATGGACCCAAACCTACACCTAGACCCAAACCCAAACCAAGACCCAGACCCAAATCCAAACCCAGGTGCAAACCTAGTCCCAGATCTGCAACTAGACCCAAACCTCGTCCCAGACCCAAATCCAGACCCTGACTTGGACCTAGGCCCAGTTCCAGACCCAAACCCAGACCCACCCCAAATTTAGACACAGATTCAAACCAAGACCAAAATCCAAACCCAAACCCAGACCCAGATCCAAAGCTACACCTCCAGCCAGTCCCAGGCTCCGTCCCAAACACCAACCCAGACCCAAACTCAAATCCAAACCCAGACACTAACCTGTCCCCAGACCTAGACCCAGACCCAACCCAACCCTAGACCCAAACCCAAATCCAAACCCAGACACTAACCTGTCCCCAGACCTAGACCCAGACCCAACCCAACCCTAGACCCAAACCCACGCCCACACCCACAGCCCCACAGGCTCTGGGCCACCCACCCCGCATCCCTCACACCCTGCTGCCATTCGGGGTGGCCACCTTGCCTTATGGCTCCTGGCCCACCCCAGCCAACACCATGGCCCCACACCCCAGCCTGTGCTTCCCAACAGCAGGAGCGAAGCAGCCACCTTCCAGGAGGAAGCTGCCACCCCTTCGCCCCCAAAACTCAATTTCCCCCCCACTGGCATCTTTCGCAAGAGACCCTTGCCCAATCCCCCACCGGGGAGAAACACCCTTCCTGCCGCCATGCCGCTCCCCAGTGTCCGCATTGACCAACTGTCTGGGCAGACATTGAAATATGCCTCTCATTTATTGGTGAGAAATGCAAAATAATTCAAAATACAAATAAGGGATCAAAGGGGGTTTAGAATGAGGAGTCTCCAGTGGCTGTGAAAGCCTCAGCCCCCCCACAGGCCAGTGGAGTGGGACTGGGTCCCTCCTCGCTGTGTCATGAGGAGATCTTGGGCTCGCCATGATGGTGGATAAGACCGGCACTGGGCTGCACAGATCCAGCTGGCAGCACCCTGGGGTCTGCGGCCAGAGCCTCCGGGGTGCCCCAGTCTAGCCCTGAGTCCCAGCTGTGCAGGAGCTAGAGGACATAAAGCATCTGCCGGCCGGTGCGGGGGGAGCTGAGAGCTCACAGGATCTTTCTCCGGGTGCTCTCGGTACAGCGGTTCAGGATGAGGTCTTTGCTGGGACGGGGAGGAACAGCAGGTTGAGCCTTGGGCTTGTTCTCCTCTTGTTCGTTTTTCTCAACTGCAGGTAAAGCGGGGGTACAGATGGGTCAGAGCTCTCCACCACCCAATACCTTCATGTGAATATTCAAAAGCTTCCTATGTAATGGTCACCAAAGCTCCTGCCTCTCCTCCTGTCTCAGCCACATGTGATAGTCTTCCTGGAGGTGAAGGTGGTGGGATGAACCCACCAGTTCCCAGCCAGGAGCTCTGTTCAGGTGGGAGCCCAGCTCCACATCTGTGCAAAGAGCTGCTCTCCCTTGGGAAGGTCATGGATCCTGCACGGGACTTACCAGATCTAATGCATTTACTTCAATGGCAGCCTCCTCCTTTATGCACCACCTCTCTCTAGGGGCTTTTCTGACAGCTAACGTACATAATAATGTTAGTGGTAACAGCAGCACGGGTGAGGTTAGGTGCACAGAGGAAAGTGCAGGTCCTAAATGTGGCTGACCTTCACCAGGACCTACTGAGGCCAGAAATGCCACCATGTGCTTCTCCTTCTCTGTCAGACCAGAGGTAAGAAACCTCACTGAAAAGAAACACCTCCCTGTACATGCTTTCACCGTAGGAGAAGTGTGAACAGGCACCGTGTGACCTATATGTGTTGTCCTACTGCATCATCTCCCACCCGTGATGGGGCAGAGCCAGAGGCCGTGCTGCCCTGAAGGGACAGCCCAACCTTGGAGCATGAGCTGCAGAGGGGTTTGGAGAAAAGAAGACTCGTTTCCTCGTCCCCACCCAGATCTTTCAGCATGGCACAGGGATTCCCAGGCTTGTTTGCTCATGCCACAGCTCCAAAAACCGGCGTTGGAGGGCACTGGCTGTGCCTGCAGGACTTCAGCCCGCATCCAGGGCAAAGGCCCTGTTGAGACTTACTGATGACATTGTCTGCCTTCTGGAAGTTTTCCTTCATCTTCCTCCGGCTCTGAATGTACTTCCTGCTGTTCCTCCTGTAGGTCTCCTGGCTGATCTGCTTCCGGCTCTGCTTGTGGATGCTCTTTACATTTCGGATGGTGGATCTGCAGCGGGTCAGAAACAAAATTTTCAGTTGCCCTGCAGGCAGCTCTCACGCCCCACACTTTCACAACAAGGATCTTCCCCTCCATGCTTCCTCCTCTGCCTCGCCCAAACCTCAGTTTCTGCTTTTTTGGTTATGCCTGGTGGAAAGCAGAAGGCAGATGCCAGCCCTCAAGGGCAGCCGTAGGTGAGACATGATGTACAGTGTGTTAGGAGGCAGCTGGAGCAGTGCTTTTCAAAGCAAATACTGGAGGGTGAAGCCTGAGCACAAGCCTGGAAAGCAATGATGGGAATGGCAAGGTAGATCAGACGAGATGGGCATGAGGTTTTCCCCATAGCTCAAGACAGCCCTGGAAGTAATCTACAGCTTTGATTTTGAATGGATGGACAGACACATATGGCATCTATACTGGCTGCAACGCTAAGATCCTGCTGTGGGGTTTGGCCTGGCCCCCCAGTGCCCAGTGCTCTGTCCCTGGGCCAGGGGAACAGAGTGTGGGGTACGTGTCAGTGTGCACCTGGATGTGCAGTGTTGAGCCAACAGCAGAGAAACTACAGAGAGAAGTGAAAGGCTGATCAGCCTGGGGCTGCGCGGCGGCGTGCTGCCGCAGGGGAACCCCCGGCGACGGGGACCGTCCCCGGGCAGGCAGACGGAGGCCACCGCTTTGTCTTCACTGCCAGGGCACGAGCAAGGTGGCTCCTGACGCCCATCCCACGGCATCGCCCTCCTGCTCTGCTCAAGGCAACGTGCCCATCTACCTTCAGCCCCTCCCTGGGCTGAGCACGCACCCCATTTCACAGCAAAGCTCTTGCCCACAGCGGCAAGTCACCACCTTTGCAACAGGGCCCAGTCACCGGCACAGCAGGGACAGCATCCACCATGGGGGGGGAGGTCACTGTCCTTGAAACAGGCCACCTCACCTCCTCGAAGGGAGCATCACTGCACTCAGGTGGATTTGGGCCATTTTACATTGTCTCACACTCAATCCGTGCTCCAGCAGAGCTGGATTTCAAGAGATTTTTTAGCAAGGCTGCCGTGCTTTCTTGTAGGGAAGAAAAGTTAGCTGCAAGATCTGCCCTTCCTAGCAGTTTTCTTTGCATCAGAATTAATGAGTTATTATTGCTTTTTATCTTTTTAATCAAAATAAAATCCCTTCCATTAGCTCAAATCCTCCCATCAGATTAGGCCATTTGGCAGGCCTGATTAGTCAAATCTCTCCTCGCTTCTCCAAGATTCAGTGGATGCACTTAGGAAATAAGAAAAGGGCCAATTTGAAAATGAAATGAGATTAGCCCAGAAGAGAAACTTTGCAGGAGGACAAGGAGAAATACATCTGGCTGGAGGACCTGTTGGAGCAAGGATCGTGCAGCTCCACATCAGAAATGCTGGGGTGCCTCTCCGCCTGCAGAAGTCGGGCAGCACAGAGCTAGTTTTGATGCAGCCCTCCAGGATCTGCCTCCTGGTCTGTCTTTGCCCTGCTCATGCCTCTCTGGGGCAGTTCCTCATTGCCAGGGTGAACAAGGGACACCACAAATCACTGTCTGGTTTCATTTCACTCCTCTCGAAGAAGAGCTTTAGCTCCCCCCTCTCCCGCCCCAAGGCTTCTCCTACCTCCGCGGAGGAGCACTCCGGTTCCTCAGCTCACTCTTCACAGACTTGTTCACCTCCCCGGCTTTCTGCAGGTACATGGAGGGATAATAACCCGTGGTTTCATCCTTCCTGCAGTGCAACACAAAGCAACATCACTTGCAGTCGTGGCTCTGTAACCACCACCTCCTCGTGCCTGTCCCCAGCTGGTGCTGGGTGGGGTATTTCTCCCGTCGCATGCAGCGAGGGGGGCTTCACTGTCCCCCCACCTTGTGTGCCTGTGGCTCTCTCTGAAAGTGTGGCTTGAATTCCAAAAGCAAGTAGGTAGCAGACAGAGCAAAGGCTCACAGCTTTCAGAGGCTCACCAGCTCGTATTATCTCCCCTGGTGGGTTTTGCTGGGCTCTTGAAGCATCACTCAGGGCCTCCTGCCAGACACCCTGTGCTCAGGAAACACTCCCTGGTCCCTGGCCCGTGTCCCCTTCCAGCCCAGCACACTGCAAACACCGGGAGATCCTCCCAGTGCCACTCGCCTGGGCACAGGCTGGGGCAGGAGGATCTCCAGGGTTTGCAGCCATGCCATGTCCTGATGGAAATACGCAATCTGTGACTCTCAAGAGCACAAATGCAGCTGGGGTTCCCCTTGGGAAAGCCCGAGTTTGCAGGGCAGGCCAGGGCTGGGATGAAAGATGAAGTTTTGCAAAGGCAAAATGTGCCAGAATAATTAGAGGTAAAATAACAGATACAATTTTTCCCCATCTGATGTCTCTTTGGATATTTCAGAAGCCCCCAGCAGAGGAAGCCCCAGCTGCAACACCTAACATTTGGCAAAGCCACAGGCTGCTAGAAGCAGCCCTGCAGAAGGAAGTGCTGGGCAGTGGCACCAAACTGTCCGTGGCTTTCACAGCCCCGATGCAGAAAACGGCCGGTTCATCCCTTTCCCCTGCCCAAATCCCGCTTGCCTGATTTGTTCTTGGCGTCTCTCACCTGATGACCCACCAGCCATCAAGGAGCTTGTGGATGACTTCGATGGTATCACCCTCCTTGAGGGTCAGCTCATCCTCCTCCACGGCTGTGTAGCTTTTCTGGACAACGTACTGCTCACCTGCGCACAAAACCGGGACAGCAGGTTGTGTGCCACCGCTCCAGGGATGGGGCTCAGCCTCTCCAGCCACTGAGGAGAGCAGGCACCAGAGCATCTGCCCTACATTTTAGGCAAGACCCAGGGTGCTCCAGGTGTCCAAGTTTGGATTCCAGCTTCCCCCCAGCCTTGTCACAGTGCCTGTGGCTCATCCCAGCCCCTTCAGCACCTCTCCAGGAAAAAGCTGAGAATGCAAGCAGTGGAAGCACACCCATCTCTGCTGAAGAGCCTGTTTGTAATTCGGGTGAATAAATGAGGAAGAAGGAAGTGTTGTGCTAATAGAGTCTGTTGTAGTGTTTCAAAAACCACAAAGACCAAGCCAGGAGAGCAATCAGCATGAGTCTGCAGGATCCTTCCTCCGCTCGGTGTCATAAGGCCCTGCAGTCTCTGTGGGGCGATGCAGAGGATTGATAAGGAGACTGCAGAAGCCAAGCACTGGGGAAAGCCTGTCCCTTCGGTCGGATGCTACACCATGCTCCATTGCTAACCCAGCAACTCAGCATTCACCCAGCTAGCTCAGGACAGCCACTGGCTGAAGATGTGCATCTGCGATCAGCCAAAACAAACATCTAAAGCTGAGTTGCAGGTCATGGGAAGCTCCTGAGGTTGACACTGAGACACTGAACCATGAGATTTATCCCTCCTGGAAGCTCTTACAGCAACATCTCCCTGCCCAGCAGTGCTGCTCGGTGTGGACTGCCCGACGGGAGCCTTGCAATGAGCCATCCGAGCGGGCAGCTGCGGCAGGCTGTGCTCTGCTGCACACCCTGGTTACCCCAACATTTTACCTGCATAGTTGGGCTCCTGCTCTTCAGACTCATCAGGACCATCCATCGGCTCCAGATAGGCAGCTGGCACCCAGCCCCGTTTATTTTTCAACTGGCAGAACCACCAGCCTGCAAGGAAAGCAGCCCGTGGGCAAGAGCAGAGGGTGTTGTGGGGGCACTGGGGGGGCACTGGCAGTGGGTCTGTCCCTGGCCGGGGTAGGCGCAGCCACGTGCCTGGACAAAAGGGACAGCTCTGCGGCTGGTCTCTGTTTACATGGTGCAACCAGGGAGCTTGGACAGTTCATCCTCTTTCCTCCCGGGCAGGAAACTTCACAGGCTGAGAAATGTGAGGAGGTTGCATGGTTTTCTAGGATTGCCCCACACCCTCACTGGCCAAAACTGACTGTCATGTGGCTCCATGTGAATGTGAAACATGTCCCAAGGGGACAGGAAGCACTGAGAGGTTTGGTGCTGCTGGTTGCATTTGCTCCGAGCTTCTCTTCTCCATCAGGAGACCCTGATACAATTGCCTACCCTTTAACCATACACCGCTGCAGATAACTCGCATGCTGCATTTGGACATGAGATGCAAGGGCAGTCCCTGTCCCTGCTGAAATGGTGGCCGGGGGGGGCCTGGCCCTTGGGGGCTCTCTGGAGGGATGGACACATACCGCTCTCGCTCTTCTCCACGACATCCACCATGTCCCCAGCTTTTAGAGCCATCTCGGATGTGGAGCTCTTCTCGTAGTCGGCGATGGCTCGGTACGTTTGCAGGACAATGGGGCCCGTAATGTCTGCATGGGAGAAGTGAGAGACGTTCCCTCTCCCAGCCCCCGGCACGGAAATACCCTGTTTCAGGCAGGCCAAAAGCAGCCCCAGAAAAGCCCAGAGCACTCTCCCAGACTCTTCTGGTCCCAAACAAGCTCATTCCCCCTGAGGCTGTGGTTTCCTCCCAGCTGCAGCTCTGGCACGGAGGGTGCTCTCGGTCAGGGCATCTGCCATGGGATGACTGCCCCTCTCCCTGCCTGGCTTTGCTGCTCGCACCCCTCTGAGGTCTCTTACCGCTGGGGCTTTTCTTGGAATCCTTTGGCAGGAGGAAGACCTCGGGCTTCTTGATCCTAGATGGGTCAGAGCAAAGGCAGCTCAATGCCAACCACCCCTCGTCGCCGGCAGTGATGCCCTCCCAGCGGGCTGTTGCCAGCACCCGAGGCAGGGACCTCAGGATTTTCCCTAAAATGGCAGGCAGCTGGACTCACTGGCTGTCTGTGACAGGGTTCATGTCGTCGTGACGGACCTTGAAGAAGTTGACCACGTGCAGGCACCGGGAGATCTTGTGGGGCAGGTTGATCAGCGTGTAGCAGTACTCGGCCAGTGTGCCCTGCCTGTTCTGGGTTGAGCGCTGCCCGTCAAACCACTTCGGGGCTGAGGGACAGGGGAAAGGGCTCAGAAAAAGCAGAGAGCGAACCCTATTTTTATGTCTTTCTCAAGCAGACTGCTTTGAATCATTAATTTTGCCGTGAAAAGAAGTGGATTTGGCCCCAGTGTGCTGCATGGTGCCCACGAGGCAAAGCTCTGCGGGAGCACGGCCCCGTCTCCTCCCTCGCTGCTCCAGCCCCGGCCTTGGCAGGCACACGGGGGGGGCCATGCACGGTGCCAAAAAGTCTGGGGAGAAGCTGACCGCAGGGCTGTGGCTGTTCTGCAGGAGCACTACAGCCACGGGCTCCTCATTTCGGCAGTGTGGCCGGGGAGGGCAGCGTGGTGCAGTGCCCAGCCCGGGTGTTGCAGGCGGTGCAGCCGGACTCGTCCCCTGCAGCCTGTGGCCCCTTGCACAGCTCGTGCAAGCCCAGAAATGACCCCATTTAACTCCGTTTCAGTTGCAAGATAACTCCCACATCCTGTGCTCAGACTAAGCCCAGCTGCCAGGCCGCAAATACAGCGGCTGCACTGGGGAACAAGGAGGGGCTCAGGGGACCAGAGTGTGGCCAGGGGGAGTGTGCACGTCCCACCATCCCACTGGCCACGGCACGTGTCCTGCAATAGCCACTTTGGACCCCCGAGCTTCAAAATGCCGCTGACAGCCCCGACCCACACCAGTTTGGAACCCCATATCGGGGTGCACGTGTGCAGCTGGTGGCACCCGCAAAGCCTCTACAGCAGTCTGGCCCCTGCCTTGTCCCCGGTGCTTTCAGTTCCCCAAACAGGACAAGGATGCTGCCAACAGCCCCAGCGTGGCGGCGGCAGCGCATGGGAAGGGTCCCGGCACGGCGGTGGTTAGTCCAGCCCTGAGGGGAAACCCCCCAGACATGCCACCTGCACTGCTGTGTGGCTCAGGTTAATTCCTCCTCAGTAGGTGCCGACCACAACCTGCAGTTATTTCTCATGCTCCTTCCTCCCTCCTTTAAAACAGGAAGTTAAATATAAGGGGGAATTTTGCTGACCTGCACTTTGTTTGGGGGCAAACCATCAGTTCTTTGGATCAGCTCATTCCCTGTCACTGAAGACATACTGCATTGCTTCCTCTTACAAAACATCCGTGTTGCCATAAAGGCACTAAAACCAGACCCGGTGATTGTGTCACCAAGGGAGGGCTCAGCTCAGCTCAGGCTCCCCAAAGCCAGACCCTCTGCACCAGCCAGAGGTCTCAGCCTGTGGGACACGTTTCTGGGGACCCCAGCCTTCGGAGAGGGAAGGACGGGGACTGCAGGGCTGGCAAGTGTTGGGAGAAACCACTGCCGCTGCTCAGACCTTTCTGGGGTTTTGATTTCAAGCCCGGTGGGCAGGAACAGAAATCACACCAAGCACCTGCGCGGGAGGCAGTCAGCTGAGCTCGGCCCGCCAAGGAATTTCCCAACCAGCTGCAATTTCTATTTCACCCCCCTGCCTCGGCACGTGCCCCTCACCTGGCAAGTGTGGGATGATCCGGTTCTCCATGCTGATGTCCCCAGATTCAATGGGGAACATCTCCTTCAGCGCCTTCTGTGGAGCAGAGCCAGGCATGGCCATGAGGGTGGCACCGGGGGATCCCCCTATGGCACCCACACCCCTGCCCATGGCCTTCCCCCCTTCCTGGCGCTTGCCCTGCCGCCGCTGGCATGTTCTGGCTGGACCCCGCACCTCAACACTGGGAGAAACCTGGAATTCGCCCTCCTCGTTTCCCCCAGCCCAAGCCCTGGTGTGCTGGGCAGGGGGCCGGTGCCCACCCCGGGACGACTCACGTGGAACTCATATATCTCCGTAAACCGGCGGTAGACGAGCTTTTCGGAGAGGTCGTTCCACTTCACCAGGAACATGTAGACCTGAGGGGCAAAGCAGAGGTGCTGCAGCTCTGCGGGCAAGCGGGACCCCACCCCACGCTGCGGCTGAAGCCCCTGGGGAGTTCTGTGGATATTTTTCAGTTTCTGATAAACCGCGTGTTTTTCTTCCATCACCCCCACGTAAGTAGCTTTGCCCTGCAAGCTGGGTGCTAGGGAAGGTCAGTGGGGACTGAGAGGGGACAGAAACGTGCAAACGGGAGGGAGTCAAGGAGCAAAAAGCCCTTTCCAAGCCTGTGAAGTAACCAACGGCTTGCAAAGGAGGTGCCTAAAATCTTACATGTTTGGTACATTTTAGCCTTTTGCTGCCTCCAGCTCATGCCATTAGCCGTGACCTCCCCCCTCCTCCAAAAAAAAAAGGGATACTCTAAAGCCCTCAGTCACATTTATCTAAATAAATTTGCTGGCCAGGCTTTTTACCCCAGCCAGTCCTCGCTACTCAGCTTGTCGGAAGGTCGCTGCATACTCACATAGTGCTGGCTGGGGAAGAACCTTTTCTCGTAGCCCAGCAGCTCGATGTGCCGGATGAAGGCATCCCCCATAGCTGCTCCCAGCCGTGGCGTCCCACTCCGGCCCCTGCTCCTGCCTCCCCGGCCGTCTCGGCGTCCTCCCCTCCCCTCTGCCTTCGCACAGCTCTGCTTCGCCGTTAAAGCCCCCGGGGAAAGCAGAAGTCCTGCTGCAATCACACCCGCAGTTGTTTACTTGCTGTGGTTTCTATTGAGTCGGTGTTTCCCGTGGGGAGTCTCCAGCCTGGCCCCTCCAAAGGCCGGGGAGGCGGCAGCAGCGGGGAGGCCTCGGGGGATGCCCTGGAAGCACCTCGGAAATCGGAGGCCGGCGAAGGCGCAGGGCCAGGTGGGCCAAGCGACCCCACCGCCCCCCGACGCTGCCCCGTGATGGCCCAGGGTGCTGCTGCAGAGGGTCAGGGACAGAGAAGGGCCTTGGCAACGTCAATCGGAGGAGCCCGTACCCTCCCGAGCAGAGCAGGACGGGCTGAACGAGGCACGTAACACACTCCCCGAGCCCGGGGACGGCCGCACTGTCCCCTGCATGGCTGGGAGGCCGTCCTGTGCTCCCAGGGCGGGCGGGGAAGCTGGGGGCACGGCGCAGGCAGGATGGGGCAGCCACAGGCTGCGTGCACAAGAGCTGCCCTTGCGTCACCGTTTTTCTTTCAGTCACCTGCAGCTCCCCCCGAACCTGCCACCAAAAGGCTCCGCTGAGCAGCCTCCCGGGAGCTGAGCCAGCCCCAGCGCCGCAGCTCCGCTCCTTGCCTTAGCCGGGCATGGGGGGAAACCCCAGGGGGGCTGGAGATGGACCCCTGCCTCCCACCCGGGAGAGCACGATGTTCCCTCGCAAAGCCTCTCTGGGATGGCAGCGCGCCGCCATCCTCCTCCTCCTCTGCCCCCAGCCCCGAGCAGAAAGGCCTGAAGTGGCGTGAGGGCCGCACGTACCAACCCCACACCCCTTGCGGGCAAAGGCGCGCCCAGGAGTACTTTTGTCCCCGGCAAGGGCACCCTCGAGTACAAGGGGTGTCTGTGCTGGGCATCCAGGGGATGCCCGGGAGGAGCTCGGCTCCAGCCGGCCGCGAGCCCCCCGCCCCATCCCCAACTCCGGCAGCCCGTGCCGGGGCGCAGCTGGGGCCCGGGCAGCCCGACACCTTGCTGCGAGCTGGTCGTCAGAGCGAGCCCACGCTCAGCGGGAGCGGAGGCGTCTCGGTCGGTGCCGGCAGCACCTGCGCCCCCGTTCCTGGCAGGCAGCAGCCCCCCGGGCGCCAGCGGAGCTCCCACCGGCTCTCCCCGCTCACCATCAACAGCAAACCGCCGTGCAGGGGCAGCCCCTGATGCCCACTGTAGCTGTGAAGACAAAAACTGGCTCCGGCTGCATTCAGAAAAATCAAACACTAACCCTAGCTTTCCCCTGAATCTCAAGTATGATGTTCTGCAGCCAAGATCAGAAACACGGTCATTTAAATTTAGTTTCTTATTATTTTAACATGGGGATTTCCCTGTATGCCAGGCAAAATTATACAACCAGTAATATTAAAAAAGTTACCTCTAGGGCTGTTTGGATTCTGCTCTGTTAACAGCCAGATTGCTGCTTCTTATGCAGAACCACCGTAAACTTTGTCATGAAAGCTAATTTCATAATTACAATTGTTTGTACTAAGCTTGAAACGGCTTTACAGACAGTGCATAATTGGAAACCACTTAATTAGCATGCTTCTTCCTGTTTCCTCATTCCTCATCTTGTGATGTGAGAAATGAAACGGAGCTTGTAGATCTCCCTGCTGGCAGCGGGTTAGCTCACAGCCAGACGCAACCAGTGACTCAGTATGATACACTGCTCAGGGTTTCCACCAACTGTCCCATAGTTACTGGGTATCAAGAAACACCATTTTAGAAGAAAATTCTTGGAGGAGTAATGACCCATCTGACAAGCAAGCGAGTTTATGGAGTTCATGAGCTGATTCATGTCTTGGGAAACAAGGCTGGCATCTGAACACAGGACCTGATTTTTGAGAGATGGAGAACTCCCACTGGCCTCCAGGCCGAGAGCTGGTCGCAGTGCTCTGCAGCAATGCAGCACTGCTTTGGAGTGAGAGCAGCACGTACGGGACCTTCGGCGACAGATTTCAATCGAGGGCACTGAAGACAAAGCGCTGGAGGCGTATCGGTTCTTGGTCAAACAGACTACTCTCTTCTGTAGCGCTCCACCCTAAATTAGTATCAAATCTTCCCATAAATTAAAAGCTTAAGGAATGCTACCCTCTTTAAAATGTAATTTTGATTTTTTTGGTGGTTTAATTCAATCCAGAGCCAAGGGAGGCCTTGCTTATGTCACTGACAGCAAACTGCTACGTGAACAGTACTACGTGCTCTAACAGCTGTTGCAAAAATCAAAAATGAAAGTCTGCCCTCTTCCTTAGCAGTCTGCCACCGATGGACAGACACAAAAAGAAACGAGGAGAAAGGGCTCAAGTTTTATATGTGGAAAACTTCAAATCCCAAGTGAAAACCACTGGCCAGCAGCTGCACGACAGAGGCGCTGGACCTCATCGGACGCGGAGCAGTTACCGCTGTGCCAACAGCCAGGGTGCCGTACCCGAGGAAGGCCAGGCTCCACCACAGACACCCTGGATCCTACACAAATAGGAACTCTGGATCCATGTAAAGAGAAAGGAGCCAGCCCAAGGCTCAGGACAGGCTTCTAAAGCTCAGTAAAACGTGGGGGATAAATATATACTTGGCTGATACTTCATCACCACAAAGCTTCTCTGCTGGAACAAAAAATATGCAGAGCTCTGGTAAGTTGTTGCAATTTTATTTATTTATTAGTACAAACAAGGCTTTTTAGGATATTATCACTCAATACTCAAAGAGTGAAACACCTCATGTATTACCAGTTTGGAAATGAGTGAGATTTTCATACATGGTCAACATCTTAAAAGTCTGCTACCTGTTAGGACTATATATAGATATATAATTTTTTTAATATAAAATTGTATTTGGAAGGTATAAATATTGGTGCGATTATTTTGTCAGTCTAATTTCTCTCTACTGGATAGAATTCAAAATGTCTGAGACCAAAAAGAGACTTCAGTGTCGAATGCTGCCGCACCCCTCAGCATCACTGACAGCCCCGCAGCGGGACGGACACAACGCACACCACCCCCCTATCCCCAGCGTCACAGGGACTCCAGTCCTTCCAGCAGAACCACTGCATCGTTTTTCACTTCATTTTTTTTTTTTTTTTTTCCCATCTCCTTCACATGAAGTTGCAGGATGTCCACACTCTGCTGTTACAGACTTGACAAGGCAGTAGCCTGGAATTACTCATTTTCGCAGTTCTTTCACTAAAGATGTCTCGCCCTGATTTTGAGGGAGCACTAACGATTCTATCAGCAATACAGAGCCTTGCTGGGCAGGCAGCTGTGCAAAAGTGCCTCCGAAAAATAGCTGCGAGTGAAGAAGGGATGGACCATCCTTCCGCTTTTTCAAAAAGGGAAGTCAAGAGCCAGCTGAAGACCCGGGGAAAGCTGCATGAACTCATTTCCCCGTTCTGAACATTTCTAGCAGCAATCGCGAAACCGGCCGCTGCCCTGATAACAACCTATTTATGGAGGTACATTAACTGAGCATGTCTATTAAAGTAATCACCAGTGAACTCTGTCCGTGGTTACAATCTGGGACAGTGCCCATACAGCTGAGAGCAGGTACGTTACATCAACAGGCTCGTTCCCCTGGGACTGAGAAAGGGGCTGTTTGCTGAGGCAGGAAGGCAGCGCTGCCTCGGTCACCACCGGTTCCCATATGGAGAGCTGGAAGGTACAACCAGGACCGGTGTTTTCAAAATCATCACGGAGCTAACCCTGCTCCTGCTGACATGGATGGCACACCGCCTGAATGCTTAAGTGGCAGCACCTAGATCTGCACGGAGCAATCGTGAAAACGCAAGCACGTGTCCTACAGCTCTCCCTCGCCTCCAGAATGACAGAGCATGTGCTGCTCTGAATTCATCTGCTGAATTTCAGGTTGCTCCCAGGCAACAGACACTGTACCCAGTTGAATTTAAGACTTCAAAATTTTCCTTGAAGACACAACAACCTCACCCACCCGGAGCTGGAATCCTGTCTGAAAGGCATGACTGGAACTTACTTCCTTCACTGAAATGAGTAACTATGCTAGAGCATGTTCTACTCGCCTACAGAATTACTGCTAGGACTTCATTTGCTGTAAAATAGGTAAATGTACACTGCATGGACAGCCATGAAAAGCATCAGAAAGGTCTTTATTTCTTAATCAGGGAATAAGGTTCACCATTTGTGCATAATGCAGTCATCCCAAATTCATGCCAATAAAAGAGAAACCTTTACAATAATTTGTATCTTCTCTATAGAGATTATCATACATCTCTTTACATCTCTTATGGTTTGTGAAACTTCAAAAAACTGCGTACATGAGTCTCTTACATGATGTGGGGCATAACCAGGACTACAGGGGACTTAACTTTTGACATAGTAGGACTTACAGCAGCTTGTAGCATATGTTTCCATAACTAGTTCTAGGTGAACAGAAAGGCATGCCCCACAGCCTCCAGGAGAAAAGCTCTCACAAGTCCATGCGAGTTTTGCCTATGTTAGGACTGCAAGACCAGACCCATCATACATAAGCCACGTGGTATTCTGATAAAACATGCACTTACTACTTTGAGTTAATGGAACAAACTATAACAAGGTTTAATTTAAATTGGTTCCTAATCCGCACACTGAAATACTGACCATTTCACAGTCCATCTCATTAATGCATACTAACGGTCAAGTGAACCAGTTTATCTTTTATTTATGAAAAACATGTGACTTGTGATAGATATCAAAGGAAAAATTAGTTCAAATATACAGATACTATTGTCCAATCAGCCATTAAAGGAGTAAGAACCAAAAAACTTAGTGATTTTTCTTCCCAAAGTAAAACTAACAAACTGAACTACTTGCAGGAATTTTTCTTCATTACAAAAGCTGAGATGCATTCAGGTACAGTGAAATTCATTGGGAAATGTAGACAGCCTCTGTTAAGTCCCTGGTGATTTTAATCCCTGTCATCTCCCCAGCACTGCTGCATCAAATTTAGTCCTTATAATATATTCCAAAGTGAAACCAGCCATTCCAAATCTACAGTCATTCTTTGCTTTAAGTCAATTCACAGAACTGCTGAAAAAGTAGACATTTCTATCTAAAAGTACAAAAAGGGTTTGTATAGAAGGTACTTCTCTTATACAGTTATATTACACAGCTCAAGACAGTCCCGGCAGGCTCTTCTCAGAACCGGATGCTTCTGACTAGGTAAGAAAAATTACAAAAGTGAGTTAGTTTCATTGCAGCAGTAGTTTGTGTTGCCTTTTAGTTCTTTAGGCCTAGATTCAGAGAGCATGCCGAAGCTGAATATTGCTCTCAATATATATGAGATTAAATGTGTGCTTAAGTGGTCTCTGTGAGAATTTAGATCAAATATTTGCTTTAGTATAAATTCAGTGGATGGCCTAAAGCATCCAGAAGGCCAAAACACTGCAGGACCAAATTGTGCAGCCATTGCTCAGTCAAAATTTCCGTGACCTTTAGTGGGTGAGATGGATTTTTATACCTCCACTGGGTGAAGTGCTTCCCACAACAAATGCAAAGTTTTTCTTCAGTATATTTTCTCCTGCCATGTTCAGTTTTAGGACAAATACTTCTGAAGCAGACTTCACCAATTTATTAGGAAGACTAGTGCTGTATAATTCTCAGGGCACAGACAGCTGGTGTGCTGGTATCTCAGCCTCTGCCAGTTTCTACTAAATCATTTATGGATTTGTCCCTTCCGTCCCCTATCCCAATGCCGTCAGCAGCCCTCCATGTACCAGGCTGTGTTTGTGCTGCACGGAGGGAGGGCTGAGGCCGAGGCTGCCCTTGTCTCCAAAAAGCTGGATGGTGCCAGGAGTGAAACCCGCAGGGCTCCAGGCTCCCCCAGCCAGTGCTTCACGCGAGGGGCAAACCGCACGATCGCTCTCAGCTGCTTAGGTCAGCAGAAATGAAGAACCAGAGCTCGGTTTTGCTGATTGCCTGTCTGTGCCCTCAGAACTGGAATAGTACACGTTTTCTCCTCTGAGATGAGTATCATGCATTTTTCTTGCTAAAGCTAGACAGGCTTAAGTATACTAAACAAATGCACTCAGCTTTATATCAACCAAATCAAATTGCTAAAGTATCAAACATTACACAACGAGGAAAATATCTGGTTTGGGAGTATTATCAAAAAAACTGAAAAGGAAAAAAGTACTGCAGAGCTGCGACAGCTTAAAATTGCCATTTTCTCTGAATGAAGCGTAGAGACACAACCGTGTGGGTCAGCCTTTTACACTTGGTCACATGATGACATTGCTAGCACTGCTCTCCACCTCCATCAAAATGTAATTTTCAGGAATGAGTGAAGTTAAAAATAGTATAAGAGAAAGATTCAGACCTTTTTGCATTGGAAATTAAACTAAGCCTTTCATAAAAGTTAATGGAAAAGAAAAAAAACTTTTAAAGAAAGGTGGTTTGTTATCACAGCTAATAGCTTTATCAAGTGTGCCAAGTTTAGACAATATTGTAATCATACTGAAGAGCTTTCCTGCTCAATTACAATTTGAAAATATATAGGATTTACCAAGAATAATAATGTTCTTTCACACAACAATGTCAGAGCTCTTTGTAAACAGTAATTCTCTAATCTTTCATTTACTCTGCCTCTGATGGATGTAATTACCACCACCCATTTTTATTTATAGGCCACATTTTCTTGGGACCGACTGCCTCACAAATTTGAACACAGTGTGCTTTACATTGTATTTGGATAAGGTAGTGAAAACTTCCTACATTTTATAGGTGAGAACTGAGACTAACAGAAGTTATTCACAAGTAAAGGACTGGCACCTTCTGTCATTTAGTCCTGTATCTCAGCCCTCTTCTCCCCTCCCAAAAATATAAAAATATTATTCCTTGACAGGTGCTGGCTTCAAGAAACACTAAATTCTTTTACCCAGTATTGATGAGATCTACCACGTTGGATCTGGTTCTTGCTTTATCTGAGAATTTTCTTCTGTTTTTGTAGTATCTGTTGAAAAAGCAGATATTAATTAAGAAAAAAGGGAACTTCCCAATCAATTTTGTTGTCATTGTTGTGCTTAAGTAAAAAATTAGGAAAATATGCAAAGCATTAATTTATCCTTTTAAACTATTAACAGTAACTAAAAAATCCGATTTCATTGAAATTATCATATTCACTTCACTGTAGAACAGCTTGGGACCTTAGAGAACTCTAGCTTTTAAAGAACAGAAATGTTTTTTATGTAGCTGAAATATTCATTGGGCTGGAAAGGTACTTAATCCAAAAAGGAAACAACACAATCAATGAAAAAATACCAGATACGTCACTGTTTTGGTCTGCATCCTGCTCTTCAGGCCTCCTCCCTCCTCTCTGACATTCCCCAAGACCACTCCTTCCTAAAACCACCTCGTGGGATATGCAATGCTGCGTGAAGCTTTTCAAACACTCACAGGTAAGTCTGCAGCTCAAAACTTCAAATACATCAGGCATGACTGCTGTTTCACATTTTTAAGATGTCTTCCAAAGCTAGCTAACAGCATCTGAACCTACTTGTGCTCAAATGATGCCTTCTGGGTTAGTTATTGAACTAACATTCATTGACAAACTCCTGTTTTCACAGCACTGTTTTTCAGATTTTTTTCCCCATCTCTTCTCAACTAGATACAGACTTCCACATTACTGTATCTCAATCTGTCCAAAACAAATTTTGACTCTAGCTAATTTTTCTTCTTCAATGCACAGTATCACATAGGAAGGCATTATGATATGCTTAAAAAAAAGAGAGAAAGAAATTTAATCTTGTTGGCTAAAGCATTCATCGTATTTTGATACATTTTTTTTTAATTTCCAGGAGACTTAATTACAAAATCCTTGCTTTTTCTTGTTCACAGGTATGCTTGGAGGTAAATCAAAGAAAGCTCATGCCTGTACAGTCCTGCCTATATGAGCTGGAGCCTCATTGTGTTCATTTTATAAACAGAGAATATGATGGAAGGAAATTGGTTTCTCACTGAAGTTGTTTGGAATGTTCAGGGCTAGGGTAATTCATCGCTACAAAGCCAAGCCATTTCACCACATGATCATTTTATACCTTCTAGCCTAGTTCTGAAGTGATTTTGAGTTCTTTAGCAATTGCAGGCCTTTTCTCAAGATCATGCCTCTGGTTACTGGGTCTGAACCGGTTTTGGATGACAAATTCAAAAAAATGCTTGTCTATGTCTTCAGAACCATCACTTTGAAGGCCCATAGCTAGATTTCCTCCACATTAAGGTATTCAGGAACAGTTGTCTCCATCAGCTAATAATTTCAGTGATCCCACATAGTTCTGGCATTATAAAGACATCTGATGTTTCAGCTTTCAGTAACTGTGAGCTTAAAATCAGCAGCTCAGCTCTACCGTGAGCCTAACACTTGCCTTCTTTTTGTCTTGATGGCTGCAACAGGACTGATCTATACTCTGAGAAAGGCCTACTCGTAACACTCAGAGTGAACCTGTAACTGAGCTTGTAACAGTAGTTCTGGTTGAGCATGTTGGCTTTTCTGTGAGTTCAGTGACACAACAGGGAAGCTGAAGCAACAGAGACCAGAAAGGGCATTTCCATGGAAGAGGATAGAGAAGAACGGGAGTGCTTAGGTTTGCTGCTTTCTCTTTTGGGGGAACTGAGGAAGGATCAGGGAATGAACTCGAGACGTTTAAGACATCAAGTGCTGATGCACAGCAGTTTCCATCCCGGTGCTGTTGGCTACGCCGCTGTCAAGTTGCTACTGAGCCCCTCTCAGACTGCCTCGAGGACAGAACCCTGTCAAACTGTCGCAGCACCTCGGATCCCCTCTGCCAGCCACGCCAGAGGCAGCCACAGCCACCCAGGACCATGCTGACAGGAGGGGACAGCAGAGGCAGCACTTACAGGACCCGAGCACACAGCAGACACCAGCATCCCCACTCTCAGGGCCATTCAGTATTCCTAATGCTCCAAGATCACATGCAAAAGCACAGGGCAGGTAGAAGAGCTACAGCCTCCTTGGTCTCACATATATCAACATCTGAAAGAGGTACAACTCAAGTATATTCTTGGACTACAGGAAAGTTGGATGTTTTCCAGAGCTTAAGTTCTGGAAGAACAACAATACTCCCCCTCCCCAACACAGTACATTCAGGCCAACATGGCATTAAAATTTCCCAGTGATGGCAATCATTCGCTTGCATAAATGGTGCAAACTACTGCGCTAAATAATTCAGGATGTGAGCAATCACTCAAAGCCTATATATAGTCATGACTCACCAACCAAGAACAACAATTCATAGAACTCCTTCGTAAAATTATTTGAATAATAATTTTTGCTGCAGAGTATTTTTCACAATATGCAGCATGATATTAATACAGATGAAAAAGTGTCCTGGGAACCAATAAAAGGCATTTTTCTGTTTTGATTGATTAGTCTCCTTTAAAAAAAAGATGCAACTTTGTTCAAAATTACTTTAAATTATTTGTTGATAATAACTGAAGACAAACACTTACCTCCTACAGATACTTGTACTTGGTTTGGTTCAGCTGGCTCTTAAATGAAAAAAATATAGTCAAATGAATATGTATATAGTTTCAACAATATGAATCAGGTAAGTATCTCAGAAAAATTAGGGAAATTAAGTTTTCCCTGGAAAAAATAACCTTGTTTTTTTTTCTTATGATCACACTCAAGTATCTTTGTCAGATAAATGTGTATAACTTTCTATAGAGTCTGCAGCAAAATGTAAAAGATACACATTTATTACATTACACTACCTAACACTTTCTCTTCCAATTATGGTTCACTGTGGCAGACATAACACTAAGTCCTAGGAGAACACAACATGCACTTGCAAAGAATATACCAAGTTTGAAACAGCTTTACTTAAACCGCTTAAATATAAAACTGTATTTAAAAAAAAGTCATCACTTCTGGTTAGTATTGTCTTCAATAGCGAGTATATGTATTTTGGGGCAGAGTGGGAAGGTGCAGAATAGAGGGCAAGAAGTATGTTTTAATTCCATAATGATTCTTCTGTTATCTATGTTAATGGATTATAGATGGACAGGTGCTGGGAAAGCCATTTAACCTTTTTAACACTGTGGGTGCGTTAAGAACAGACTGACTATAGCAAGTTCCCTGACCATCAGCAGCTGTTTTCCTCCTTCCCACCACCTCCAAATGTAAACAGAAAAGCCAGTGGTTTCCTTTGTAATTATTTCCACCACAAGTGTCCCTTACTCCTAAAACATTTATTGAATGTTTTCTCTTAGTTTCCCAGTTTCTCTGAGTAACAAATTTTTCAGTCAATTGCAGAAGTCTTTCCTGAACTACACCAAATCAGGATACACATGTTTAAAATGTCTGCAAACATTTAGGAACTATACTGGGTCAAAAGGAAGTTGCTCAACTACATTTTCTTTAGCTATTCATAGCATAAAGCTAAGTTCTCCATTCAGTCTAAGGTGATGTGTGTGCAGTCTAGACACAGTCTAGCAGGGGTTACAGAGCTGTGCAGTGGGCAGGAATTCCACCATGACCCCATTCTAGGTTCTTATATGTTATACAGGCAAAATTCACTTGGCCGAACATCTATCTGGCGCAGACACACACATACTTTGAGTTAAGCAGACATCAATAAATTGATACTGAATTGGCTTTATACATTGCCCCTTCTAATCCTCCTTTTCAGCTCACTCATCATCTGCACAAATCAAATCAAGGAACACGCCAATGACAGCTTGAATGAAGCAATGGCTCTTTCTATTAATTTATTAATATTTAATAGCTATAAAAGGCACCATCATACACCATCTGTCAAAATAAAATGGCTCATCATGAGCAATGCATACCCACGACATGACTACTAATATCATCTGCCAATAAGATCGAGAACTCCATACCCCACCCCTCCTGCAACAACACGCGTCACGCTCGGCATCACCTGGTAGTACTGGTGCTGCTGCTGGTGCTGCTGCTGGTGATTCTGCTTCAGCTTTTTCCACCAGCTCTAAGATTAGACATGATCACTGTTTAACATCACAATGAAAACTGTCCACATGTAACATAAGAGCAATCTCACTTCTTGAATCTGCAAATCCCGAAGCTTGTTGCATGAACAGGTTACTAACACTTGTAGTTGAGCTGCAGTTCAATTTTTTTTGTTACAGAAAAAACACTCCCTATCTTGCCTGCAAGCACCAAAAATTTCTTTTTAAGTTCCTACACGTTCTTCAGAAGAAGAATAAAGCATCGTACCTATAAGCAATAGGCTCAGAGCCTTTCATTCACCTTGGTATCTTTCAATAGCAGATCATTTTGATCATAATTAATGGACATGGATAATGCATAAACCCCACATGTTCAATGACCAATCCGCTCTTCCAGTGATGGAAGATGACTGGGCATCTGTGTTGCTCTTACTGAGCATACTAGCTAGCCCCAGTCCCAACACATGCTGACAGTAATGCTGGATAGACAACAATTTAACAGATTTTTAAATTTCTGATGCAATTTCCTGGAAAAGCTATTATTACACACTTATCTGCCTGGAAGGTTTCCTCTTACAAAGGGGTTTCTTTCCCACCTAAGAAGGTGTTGCCTAAGACTAGTGAGCAGCTCAGTGTCAGTTACTAGCTGTAATATCTTCCTGGAAACACTTCATACTTGCAGTTCATAGACCTCAGCATGATAGCTGGAACATACTGATGGCTGGATGCAAATGAACAAACACTGGGTCACTAAGGCTCAGGCTGAGTAAGGGCAAATCAATGACAGTAGGTTATTTGGCCTCTGAATTTCTGATCTGACATTGGCTCAGAAGGAACATGGAACAAAGGACACTGTAACGACAGTGTTTTGCAGTCTGTTTTTTCTCCTAAATAAGATCTGAAAAACCAGGTCACAATTATTTTAGGCAAGTGAATACTAAGAACTTTCTCACCCTCCCAAAACAATTTAATTAACATGGCCAAACTGGCCATGGCACTTTAGATAATTACACTCTGCCTCTCTAAACCGTTACAGTTTCGGTAGAATGCAGAATTTTTCACTGGAACACTGTTGTGCAGCTACTGGAAAGCTCTTTCTTAGTAACTGCTACTGCAATGGATATGCACCTAAAATACAGGCACTCCCATGTAAGTCTATTGCTTAGTCAGGGTCCTAAATCTCCTTGGGACTCTGCAGCTGATAAATACAAAACCAATACCTTGTCTTTTCATAGCACAGTTAATGCTAATCTTACATTGTTTTGTAAATTTATCACACTGCTCTCAAGTTAATTGCACATTCATGTTTAGTCAGGAAATCTTAACAAGACAGACAATAGACAAGAGTTATACATAGAACTTAACCACTGTGGAGCCTCTGCCACTAAGACAAAGAATCTTGTTGAGTTACAAAAATACATTTGCCATCAGTGTCTCAAATACTTACGATTGTTAATCACAAGTCCTGGAAATGGTCTGTAAAAAAAAGAAAATAAAAATATATTTACTGATTCTAAAATACACTGTATGGGGTCTCCCTCCCAAGGCAGTTTCACCTAACCTTTTGTAACAGAGATGATGCCAAAAAATGTACAGAAAGTTGAACAAAATGGAAAGAACCATCACAGTAGCTTTCAGGCTCTGTGTTTTCTTCGTTAGCATTTTGAAAAGTAACATACACAGAACGATGTAAATCCTTCCCTTGGTCACCACTAATCAACAAGGGATCCACCTCTTATTCAGAGCTCAATTAAACAAAACGTATCACGCAAGAGTCCTTTCAATTAGAACACTTAATGATTAAGGCTTGAGAATTCCAACCCTTAGTAAAATGTATTTAAGAAATTTCTCTCTCTTAAAATTGAAGCTTTTAGACTCCTGTGAAGCAGTCAATGATTTGAGAAGATAAACTGATACATTTTTATTTTCAATTCCTGAACTCCTCCTTAGTATGATTCCAAAGTTTCATCTATTCTGCTTCATGCATACAAATATACTTTGTACATACATGTGTGTATATCTGTCTATGGAAATATACACATACAGAAAAAAATTCACTTACATCATAATTGGACAATACTGTATTTTTAAATATTGTAGATAAACTAATTTTGTAGGGGAAAAAAAATAAATTATCAAAGAGTTGACCTTGACTCAGGATTCTTAACACAACTGAAGTAATTAAAAAACATTAATAGTAATGCTACTACAAATGTACTATTTACTGTTAAGAGCCAACAAACTCTGGGCTTGCCTCAAAACTTGATCTTATAAATGGGAGAGGAAGGCTCACAACACTTAGGACTCTGTTATATAATATGAATAGATTTCAACTCAAGACAGCTTGCTGTAATATGCAGTATTAATAATGTGCCCTTTATCACACTAAATCAGATGTGTCCTCCAAAGAGCTACCACCTTCATTCATGCTATGAACATCTGGGCTTCATTTGACCTGAAATATTGTTATCCAAAAGAGCCAACGTCTTCCACTATTTAAAGATGCACTGCAACTTCTACTCTTTCAAATCTCAATTTATTCAAGCCCCAGGGCTGTTCTCACATCTGTACAGTCTAATCAATGGCAACTACATACCGAATTACAGTAAATTTTATAAACTCTGCTGATTCCAAAATCTTCCTCATCGAGCTGATTTCCAGATAACTGGGAGCTTTAAATGTCACACCAGGAGGCATCCCATCCACCACCACACAGCCAGGGTTGATAGTGATTTTTCTGTATGGGACTTTCACAGGAAAATTCATACCAATGGCTTCACCTAAGTGAGACAGGTCATGTTTATTTTCAGGGGTACATATTTATGATTACATTGAAGAAAAAGTCCTCAGATAATTAAGAAACTAAATGCAAACCCAAGCTTTCTATCAGATCTGAAATACAAACCTTCGTTTGACAATGGAACAATTACAATGTTAGAAATAGATGGTTTGGATTATACTCATGAACATCACTATAAAAGTGCTAGTTACAACTTCAACTCTGACAGCTCACCATATAAAAAACCACAGATTCTGGTTTTCCTGAAAAAAGGTATAGAGCAGGCTATCTAAGGAAATATCTATATGAAGGGAAAAAAAGTGTTTCCTGCAATGCCATGAAAAGCAATTCAAAACAGCACTAGTGAAGGAATTTCAAATAAAGAAACTCAGGTAATTTATTTCATCCATGTTTACAGAAAAAGAAACAGGAAGGGATGCATATGCAAACATACACTCCTAGGACTTTTTGTCTAAAAAACCCGAACAACATACATCACTTATAAAAGAGTCCTTCTGAAGTCAAAGCACAACATTCATATACAATTCTCAAATTTGTTCATTTTAATGATCATGTATCTTGTTCACTGTGATGATTCAGTAACTTCAATATGAAGTAATTGCATTCACACCTATGTAAAATGGGGAGTAAGAAGCAATTACCAAATTTCCGGCTAAAAAGGTCATTCACTTGTTCCCTCAATTGTCTGGCCTTTTCTACTTTTGACAGTCGCTCATTTTCATCATCTGGAAGAAATTGTTAGAATAGCATCAGGATTAAGCAGACTATTTTTTCCCTGAAGCTTTTTTATCATTGCATATTTACTCAAAGCAGGTATACCCGAGTGCTTCAAAACAGGCACTGCCTTTGCTCCTAGTTTTAGCAGTAACATTAGGAAATGTACTCATTTTGTAGCATCAAAATGACCATTCAGTTGATGGCCATAGCACGCAACGTTCCTCATGAATGTAATATATGCCCAGGAAAGTAGTAATCAGCTTTAAGACAAAGCAGTTCAGTCTGCATGGTTATTCAATTCTGAGTACTGATCTCTTGCAGTTGCCAAGAAAATAGCAAATCAGTATTTAATTTCTTGCATGAGCAAAAAAGCACGGAAAAATATGGATAGTTCTTAATTAGGGGCTGGACCAAGAATATTCTAGAGATGTCACTGAATAGATATTCATGAGTGTTAGAAAATATTTAACATATCAGCAAAACCGGAATGTTAAATTATGCTCTTTGTTGACTGTAGTTGTATTTCAGTCAACCAGCTTGACTGTAGGAAAAACTATCAGACTAAACAAGTGTCATGAAGAATATAAGCACAAAAAGTATGATGTGAAACCAGACAGTATACACACCTGGTATAGTTACTTGAATTATGTTAAGATCTTCAACACCTGCAGCTGTGTTCACCCCTGTGTTTGTTGTGGTGCTTGCTGTATTTGCTGTATTAGATAAATCATTTTTTTCTAAAAGAGAATGAATTTAAAAAGCATTTGTAGAGAACCCAAAATCTTGACAGTCATATATAAAGAAAATATTGCAAAACAGACATTTGCAAAGTTTCCAAAGCAGACCCAGCTCCATTTTCAAAATGGGAGCAGCTTCCAATGAGAAACATTTATTGAAGGTTCACACTACTCTGTCTTTCCAACCCAAAAGGAGAAAGAGCTAGATTAAAGTTACTGTTAATCTTTATCTAGCTGGTTTTCTAAGAAGATTTTTAACAAACAAACAAAAAAGAGTACGTGGATGATGTAATTTGATATCAACAGAAATATCATAGCACTTGCAGTTAATTCAGTAACACCTACTGATCCATGTGTTCACTGTGTACATTCACAAAATAAATCCCTTACAGTTATATTTCTGAGCCACACTGTCCAGTGGCACAAACTAGCATAGTTCAAGTAACTCAGCAGACCTTTGCCAACCCATAGTAATAGATAATACTATGTCTCTAAACGTTTAATCCATGACCTGCCTGACACAATTTTCTACAGACTTTTTGCACTCCTATCTGTGGAGCACTTGCCATTTAGATGACCTATGTATTAGGAGCCAATAATTTATCTCTAGACCTGAATTACTTCTGTCAATCACACATTACTTGTTACATTTTGATAAAAGGAAGTGAAGAGTATATTACAGGCATGATTACTGTGAATAACTGAAAAAATTTAATACTCCCTCGCTAAACCTATACTTAAAACTGTAACTGGTAAGTGCTTTTCCCATCCTAAAAACAAACAAGCAAACCATCCACAATGTAGAAGGAACCTTTCAGGAATTCATCAACAACGTGCAGCTCTCCTGAATTGTATTTAATCCTTGAAAAAGACTGTTATCTAGAACATTAAGCAGTTGCAAAACTCACTTTGGGGGCTTCTAGCAGAACTTTCCTTAAGAGCTGCCTCAAACATCTCAGGCCTGCAAACAGATTGAACATTTCATTTACAATAATAAAATTACGTTCATCAACATTAAAGAAAATGCTATTTCCTAATATTAATTTATTGAAGACAAGAACTAAGTGATATCCTCTCAGCCAAAGAGACAGCTAAGAATGCAATGGCTGAGAGGCTCCACAACTTCTCTTGCCACTGTTTCTACACTGGCACATGGGTATCTAAACATATTCTAGACAATAAAAATTAATTCTTACAACCCCCAAAATATGAATCTCCACTTCTCAGCTCTTAGTACACGGTCAGCAAATGTCATGAGTAATCCATAAGCACTCCACACAGTGGGAACTAAAGGAGTAATGGGAAAACGGAAACAGGCTAAGAAATCTGGACTTGCTCTTCCTCCCCAAGCACGTTGTGAGTGTCTTTCAGAACAAAGAGATTACTGTATCTTGCTCCACCCCTACAAGAGCTATCTGACAATTTCCTCATTCACAGAAAATATTCCAGTGTGTATTTTATTGAGTAACTGAGTAACTCGGCAACACAATTTCATTTTTTGGTCTACATTTCAATTCTCATAGAATAGATTATCGAAGACATACAGGAGTCTTACTTTTTAATAATGAACTTTATCTTAGATTTGTTTCTCAGGATCTTCTCTAGTCTTGGTATTCCAAAAGTTGAAGGTCGGCGGAACGGCACCCCCTCGGGTAGTCCTTCCACATAAAAAACCTCCGGGAAGGATTCAAACAACGCAAATGGCACCTTCACTGGTTCAGTCAGCCCCAGCGCTTCCCCTGAAATGTAACACAGCAAATAAACTACCAGATAGATAACTGACGTGCATATAAGGAAAAACCCAGGTATAAACAGTATATAATACTGTTGGCACATACTAGATTAGGTAGAACCAGTGGGCTTTGCCTTTTTTGGTGACAGCTATGAGTAGGCAGGAAAGAAAATTAACAGTTTCAAACATAACTCATTCTTTTGCAGTAAATCTGATCATAATTCACAGTTGAAAATTAATAATTTGCAGCCAGCTCATGCCACTGGCTTGGTCTGCATACAAGATTATTGCATTTGTACTCCACTTCGTTACAGGCAATACATACAGTCTCTGTCTCTGCAAGAGAACAGCACCAAGGGCAGGTGAGATTAGTGGTCTTGTTCCAAAAACTGCATTTAGAGTAATGAGAAGTCAGTACTTCCAAAAGTCATAAGCTTCCAAACAGCCTACACCAGAAGCAGCGCTGGGATACAATGAAGAATGTCTCTCCAGATACCGTACATAATTTATTGAGTCATGCAGAGGCTGAAGTCATACAAAGTGTTGTATATGTCATTCATAAGCTGAGTGAAGAAAGCTTAAAAAGATGTGCCAGGATGCGAAGTCACTATGTCTCCGGGTCATTAAAGAAGTAGCAATCCAACCACAACTTCTCTGTTTCCAAACCCAAATAACTAGTGGAAATGTGACACAGAAATGCAAGTAACCTACACGAGAACGAACTCAAATAAATTGCCTAGAGTGCACAAGGACTGCAGGACCTTTGGTATAAACATATGATCCTCTCTCTCGTGTGTCTAACTGCATGTTCATAAGAAAGACATCTCAGTAAAACAACATCAATAAACTTACCACATTTTTCATTAAAAAGATTTTCGACCTTCTGCTTTAAGTCAGTAATTTTGGCATTCCACGCCTCTGCCAGGAGGAAATTGGAAGAATTAAATCAACACTCACACAATGAACTAGTCCTTGAAGAATATTTTACTAAATGTTTAATAAATTATTATGCTTGATAACTGATTTACTATGACAGTAAAATGAGCAAAATGGCTTTCATTCTGCAGATGGCACTGAAACATTCTGCTGCAGACTAATCCTATATCCACATCAATCCTCACTTTTCTAAAGCTTTGAAAGATACAGCTTCTAGATAAAGCAAGGGTGATTAAAATTGAAATTAATCCAAGAGTGATCCAAATTTACAGTATCAGGCAGCATAAAATTTACTCATCTGAACCAGTACCCAAAACAGTGGGCAGAAAGTTCTTCATGTGATCAGTGACATAGCACTGAAACACATGCCCCTCTCCTCAGAACTATAAACTCCGTTATAATGTAAACTTCAGTGGGTAAGATTACATGTTCATCTAGTTAGGTATTTGGTTTCTGACAGTGATCAGTGGCAATTCCTGCACCAGTTCACTTGTGGCTGCAGTAAGTGGTCCATAGCTTGTCTACAAAACTAAAAACTCAGTTGAAAGTTTAAAAAAGTTGTAAATCTTTTATTTTTAAAAAAGCAAAGGTATAATAATAACAAGCAAGATCAAGAAAATTGTACACAACTGTGAGTATGAATACTGCCCATGCCAGAAGGAGCAGTCATACCAAATTAGTATCTTATATTCATTCTAAACTGGCTAAGCAGGAGTAAAGAATTTCTTTGTTTCACTTTTTATGACCATATGGCTAAAAAGAAAGCACTGGGGACAAATATAATAAAGCAAATAACAATAAAACTCCTATATAAATATAAGCAAATAAACTCAGAATGCAAGGATGCTGAAAAAAAGGTTTCATGAAACTTGGGATCTGCTTACACTTACTGTGAATACAGTCATTCATCTCACTTGACTATGAGGAATTTATCCGGGTTGCAAATTGACCCTGCTTTCAACGCAAGATTTCTGTGTTACAGCACTGCACATAGGCCTGGTCCTCCACAGCTAAAAAGCTCCAGCCCAATGCTCGTGAACACAACTACATGGCTCCCAGTCCTGTCTGGCTTTTCCTTTACTGATTTTCCAGAACTGGAGAGATTTTGCAATATTGCAAAATCAGCTCCAATAGATCATGGCTTACTAATGTTGCTTGGAATCCTCCCTAGTTCCTACATACCACTTGGATATCTCTGAACAGTGATGCTCAATATTTCAAGTTTGTGGAGCGCTTATTAAGCTTACGCACAACATCAGATCTCGGCTGGGTTTATGCACTCTGGTAGTACTGTGCACCAGACAAGTCCTTCAAGGGTCTGCAGCACTGTGAAATAACAGAGTAGCAAAACTCTAAAAGGACTGATCCTGAGCCCAAATTAATAAGATCTAATGGACCTATGCTGCATTTGTACAGGATTCTCCATACACCATCCAGGATCTCTGCGATGCAGATTATTCTACATGATGAAGAACTGAATGTACATGAAAACAAGAAATTCAGTTATTCACTAACTGTAGAATAAAATATGAATAAAAAATATCTCTGATATGTAATCACCAGAAATTTCAATAACAACATTAATAGAATGATTATGTGCGAATTCCCACATTTACCAAAAGAAAACTCTCTTCCTCGTGGCTTGAAACCCATATTGGACCCATTGGTTTGAGAATTAGTTCGAACATCTGTTGTTTGTGGCTTATTAGGACCTGTAAAAAGACATTACACAGATACATGCAGAGAGCAGAAGCAAGCCATCATACAAAAAGAAAAATGCATCAAACTTGATTACTAGAGAAAACTCAACTTCTGAATCAAGGGTAGAATAAAAAAAAAACCCTTAAGAAGTTCTTCAGGGTTGTGTTTAAGCATTTGATACTATTGATCACATCTGTCATTTCTCTGCTCAGGACTACGCCAGTTCCCACATCTCTATTTGGAATAAAAGCCCAAACAAGCTGTCACACTCTAACATCTTACATAACCATCATCTGCACAGAATCCAGTATTATTCAGAAACAAAAAATAAAACTGTTTCTATATTAAAGAAATATAGATAAAATGTATCTGGAGTCCTGAAATGAAAATGTGGTTGCTACATGAGGTGCATGTATAAGTTAATTATGGGCAATGAAAACTGAGAAGAACAGAAAACATTAGAAGAATAAAAGAACATTAGAAGAATATTTAATGGTATTTCCTCTATACCTTCTTCAACAGTAACTTCAATCTCTGGGATCTTTGAATTGCCTGCAGGACTTCGTGACCTTTTTGAACTCTTTGGACTCATTGCTGAAAGTCAATACAATACAAGGTGTAACGCACAAACCCCTGTAACGTATATGCTGCACAGCTAATGAAAAAACAAATGTATTCTCAAAATTCCAACAGACTGAAGAATCACTTGTGTCTGTACTAAGTACAGTCTGCATTGTAAAATCTGAACAATACAGTGATGCTCACAGCCTGCAAAAGTAGGTTTAATACTCCTGAAAAAAAGCAGATATCACATCTAAATTTTCACTCCATTAATTCAGAACAGAAGACCAGAAGACTGTTGTTTCTAAGTGTGTGGGAGACTTTTGGTACTTTTAATTATCTAAATAACAAAATTATTAACTTCTGAACCTTTAGGTAATTTAAAAGACTTTCTTTTTCTTTTCTTACAAAACTTCATTGTTACTTACATCAGTTTGCACCTATATGTTAAATATGGTTTAGGCTTTTAATAGCAAAATAAAAATTGTTGAAATTGAGTAAATTACATTTTCTGTATTGGAATAGTTTTAAGTAAAAAAGGTACGTAAAAGTATGCTTTGAGTAACTTCTTCAAATAATACCAGATTTAGAGGCTACTATGCCAGATGATCTTAAATAATGCCTTTTGTTTGCAATACTCATATTTTTCAACCACAAAGATCGCTCAGTCTGCTAAGGAAGCAGAAAGTAAGTATTTATGAATTGACGGCAGCAAATAAAACTTAATTATCTACCTTTAGTGTTTATTTTACTAGCCAGTCCTGGAGGCAAATAGGAAGTGACAAGCTCAGGCCTAAAAGTTGAAGAGAACACAATACAATCAATTACACAAGCAAGAAAAATAATGCAGCAAAATGTTACAAATTTCTTGGGATTCAGTTGAATTCCAATTCACATAACATCAGCTCTCTGTAATAAATTTCCACTAGAAGCACGAGTGACTCTAATATAAGCACAAGAAGTTAGAAAACATAGAGCTACATTTTCTAGTCTGTATTTTTCTTCTGTGTTTATTTCAAGAAAAAAAAAAAGGAAAAAAAGGAAAAAAAGCTTCCCTGTACAAGGCCATTTTTCCCCCTAGACCCTTGATACATGAAACATGCAATTTATACTTCTATAGAAATTTCATAAGGAAGGTATATCCTTTTATGAGATAAAAAACATATGTGCAAAATGCTCTTTCTGTTTCATGAAAACAGATTTTAGGTAGTGTTTAAAGCCTAAAGTTGCTGAGAAGAAAAATCAAGTAACTTCAAATCAGGAATAAAAATAACTGAGTTAGAAACATACTTTTTGACAACAAATTTGATTTTGCCACTCCCACGGACAATTCTTTCAAGGCGCGGAATTCCAAACCATGTGGGACTCCGGAAGGGGATTCCTTCTGGCAAGCCTTCGACGTACAAGCAGTCAGGGTTTGATTCAAATACAGGATAGGGAACTTTCACTGCTTCTGAAAGCCCCAGAGCTTGGGCTGAAAATAAAGATTTGATGACAGTTTACACACTCAAATGGGTGGTATTTTATCTCAAGTGATTTTAAGAAACTTGGCTTACAGAAGCTCTGCTACTCAGAGATAATAAAAAAAACCCAGGAGAAATATTTAAATATATTTTCTATTATTTTCTGTAGAATAACTGCAAATGGGGACTTGGTCCATCTTGTTACAGATACCATCTAAACCTGCAGTGCCTAACATTTTCTTCTGAGAACTTTTTTCATCCAAAAGCTTTTTGTGCACATATCATCTTTTGTCACACAACTGGAAAAAACTACGGCCTAGGATATTGCTATAAAGCAATTGGTCAGTTATAGGGAAAAGTCTGCAAAAAGTAGGTAAGAGGAGTCAAAACTTCCATATCTGTCCTAGTACATTTCTGATGTTTAAATAAGTACGGTAGGATTTAAAACTCTCTTTACAGATGAGTTTTAAAATGCAGCAGCATTACAAAACAGTTCATTTAACATTTGACTTACCAAACTTGGTATTAAATATCTCTTCTACTTGCTTTCTTAGCTTTGTGATCCTGACATTCCAATCTTCTTTCACTGAAACCCAGAAATGGATATCTGTCAGAGTACTACCTAGATAGAGTCATGTTTGAACACATTTATTTCAACACAAGAACTTGTAAACTATCAACACAATCACATGTGAGTAGACAAGGATACACACTGAGTAATGATTATTAATGGCAGCTTAAATGATACACATAATTCTGTCTACATAATGGAAAATCTGTTTAAATGTAGTTACAAATTTCAAACATTGGCCCAAGTGGGAGAACTTGTTCTTTAGAGACTTTAGATGCAGGAAGGAATTATTCTAGTAGCTCTTACAAAGTCAGAACTGATTAATCATAGTGCATAAGAGTAACTGTTTTTTAAACCCTCACCTTCTGTTCCAGGGTGCTTTCCGAAATGTTTTGATTAATATAAAAAAAGAAAAAAAATTCAGTCCTGCTCTGTTCAGCTGTGGCTGCCCCCTTCCTGGAAGGGTTCAAGGCCAGGTTGGACGGGGCTGGGAGCCCCCTGGGCTGGGGGAAGGGGGCCCTGCCTGGGGCAGGGGGTGGCACTGGAGGGGCTTTAAGGTCCCTTCCAACCCAAACCAGTCTGTGATTCTGTAATTCATTACTTTTCATCATAACCCACAAATAACAATTAGCTGCTACTAGGCTAAAACCATTTAGAGTTGTGGAAAGCATGCATGAAGGAAGCTGTACAGAGATTTTCTGTTTCCAAATCATATTTTTGACTAATGAATTACCTGACCTTCTTTATTTATAGCTTCTTATATTTTCAAGGCAAGATGCATTAATATTTTTTGCATTCTGGCCTATTTATTTGATAGATTTCACAGGTATTTAACACCTGCATGTGTGTTTATATTTATTCACATGTAGTAGTCCTACTGGCAAAGGAATTAGACTGATTAACTTTACAAAGTTAAAATGTTGTTTACAGATTATCTATTGAGGGCACAGGATTACTACTTTGCAACAAAATAATATTTTACGTTAAAAAAGGTCTAATATTCTTTAGCAACATAAAATTTGCATCTGCAGTAAGGAGATCCTTGGCCTTTGCCTGGGAAAATGGTTTTCACTGGGGTCTAAGCCCAAGAGAACATTTGCTCTGTTTGACTATCTGACATCAAACCCTGGACCCTGGTAAGCTTTGTGGGCACTGGTAATACCAGATTCACCAGTAAGTTAGTGAAAAATACAGTGAAGTAACTAGTACAGAGAAAGAAATGTTATTCTTAACATTCAAACAGTCTGAATTTTATGAATCATGACCACTGGATGTCAGTTCTTTCAGAAAGAGGATGTTACTAGCTGTTTTTTTACTGCTAACATTGGCACTTTCATTATCAAATTGTCAGTTATATTATCAAATTTTATGTCAAACAGGGTTTTGGCAACAAAACAAAGAAAAAAAAATTTAAAAGTTGATGTTGCCTTTTCTTTCTGCTTCATATCGAACAGCCTCTTCTAGTGAGTTTCCTTCTTGCTGAATATGAGCCTTTTCTTAAAATCCAAACAAAATCCACAATACGTTGTGATGATGTAAGATGACTACTGATTACATGATTATTAAATCATAATCTTTCCCTTTTTTTTCCTGCAGCAAGCTCAACACAATTATTTCCTTAAGCTGTGATTTGTTTATCCAGTGAAATGTGTGTGGGGAAAAACTTAGGAAGCCCAGGATCTCTGTTTGCATTACTACTACAAGCAACTTCCTACTCCTAAAAAAACCTAGCAAGATCTGGATTACACACTTCTGTAGCAAGAAAGGGCAATACACTCCAATTCAGAGCATTCAGAAATAAAACCCAATCTGATTCTTCTCCTGTGTTAAAGGCATTTCATGCTTTCAAGAAGTCATTGCAATTCCTTACCAACGGAGGCCTGAAAAAAGCCCAACAGAGTCAGCTGTGAAATGCTAAGGGACTCCAGAGCTTTGGTTCATGCCAGGATAGTAACTCCCATTCTCCCAGGCTGTGAAGGTGATCCATTCTAGTTACTTGAAGACAGATGGACTGCACCACAATCCAGAAAGCCATACATGGTCATAATGATCTATTTATTCTTTTCAGAGCTCATGAAAAAGCACACTCATCACAGAAGGGTTACTTCTTGAAAAATGTCGCATTGATCCAAATGTGTTTCCCCACCAAACCCTTCCATTTCCACTTGGAGACAGCACCTGTCTTACCTGGGCCATTCACCCTGGGTTGAATAACTTCGGTTGAGGTGAGAGTTAGCAGCTCTGGCCTGCAACCAGAAAACAAATATTCTGCCCATTCTTCACATAAATTAAGTACTACTACTTATTATGCCATGAACTGAAAAGTTTGGATTTTTCTATTATGTATTTCACACTTGTGAACATGCTACAAAGATATTCTGGAAGACTTGTCCGGATTGCAAATACCCACTTTATAATGCAGAATATTTAATCTACCTATTTGATAACTAGAGACCGAATGCTTCATGACTTAATGAAACCAAGTGCTTGATGACACAAAGGGAGTTTGTTTGGCCTCTTTCTTAAAAAAAACCCCAAACTTGAATAAGTTTAGGTGTTAAAACAAACACTTACCTTTTGATCACAAATTTTATTTTGTTGCCTGCTTGAATTATTTTTTCGAGGCGAGGGATTCCGTACCAGGAGGGACTCCTAAAGGGGATGTTGTCTGGCAGCCCTTCAACACAGAGGTCAGTAGGATAGGCCTCAAATTTCTGGTATGGAACTAATTTAGGCTCAGTGCTCCCCAAGGCCTCAGCTGTTAGAACAAAATACATCCAGTAACTAGACAGTTCAGCCATCAACCTTTATTAGTAGCTAGCTAAGGTACCAATTTTTCAGGCTGTTGCAATCATGATCTTAGAACCCAAGACAATGCAGGATATCTAAACCCAACAAAGACCGAGTCTTTGCACACCAAAACCATAAAAAATTACCATATTGTATCATGGTGCTGCTGGGCAGTCACAACACTTGACTAAAGATTACTGGGTTCTTCACTGGGGCATTCTTCACAGTGGTTTTATCCAAAGTTTTTAATCTATTATAGAACATCATGCAACATTTTATTCTAGCTCGTATGAAGTTGGTGCTTTTTTTTTTTTAATATTGGAGAGAACATAAAAATTCACCCAGAAATGTTCTAATACTAATTTTAATGATACTGCAATGGATATAAATCAGTAAATGGTTGTTCTATTCACCATCAATGGAAAAAAAAAAAAAAACAAAAACAAAACAACACAAACCCAATAGGAAGGAATTGAGAGCAATTAGAACAGCTGTACATATAAGACTTATACATTTTTAACTATGAATTTACCTTGTTGTATTAGCAGTAAAGTAATACATTATTTTTCACTCAACTGCCAGGATTTAAAATATTTGAAAAAACTGATCGAAGGTCTCATTCATGTGGACATTCAAAGGAAATAAAGCAATCTTCAAGAAATATAAAACTATAAAAGAAAAAACAGTAATAGTGTACTCACCAAACTTTTTACAGAAGAGCTGATCTACCATCTTTCTCAGTTTGGTGATTCTGGCATACCACTCTTCTTTCACTGTATTTGAAAGTGACACAGAACAAAAACAACATTCACTGATTATTTTGGTTATATTTTCAGCTGTTCAGCTTATAGCATGCATAACCATCCTGAATTTTCAGGTAACCCAGAAAACACTGTGCAGAAGAAATACAGATTCAACCTGAAACTAGGAAAATTAATTCTAAAAAATGACAGAATATTTAAACTATACAAAAGCCCACTGAACCAGTGAATTTTCCTCTTGCTACAAAATACACACCGTGTATTGGCATGAAGAACTGCAATGCTTGCATTATCTGCCCCCAATCTATAGATTCCATTTGGATATAGGATTAGTTTTTTGCCAGTTTCATTTTCTAAAAAAAAATCTTGATATTCAGCGCAGAATTTGGTATGTGTATGGGATGAAAACTTGTTTTCAAGGAATTTTCACTAAGCACTGACAACCCCAAAGCAATCTTTTACAACGGGTGCATACAGTAGTTTGCTCCTTGCTGTATATTTGTATTCAACGTCCAGCATCCATTTCTCCCCCTGTTTGTGGACAATACTTTTTAAATGGTGATTCATAATTACACCAAATGACTCCAGGGATTTTGTTAGTCTTCTTGAGATGCCAAAGAGCTTAGTTTCAGCTGTCCAAAATGTCTCCTTGATATTCCCTACGACATGAGTTAAGTCATAATTTAGACACCGAACCCAACATGTGGCAGCTATGTAGATTAGCATATCCTGGTCAAACACGCAAGATTAAATACAGTTTTTCCATCATTTTATCACTGGAGCATCTTTGCTTATTGGCTGATACACACACAACTTTGGAGTTCACAGGACAAAGTTTCGCACCTGAAGACGGTCATGAGTCTGAGTTCTGCTCCTCCAGCAGCACAACAGCACAACGATGATGCTTAGTGATGCCATATTTAGTAGAAAGAATAGTACCAGCTTTTGGTTCTGTTTTGTCATGTGTGCTTGTCATTTGGGACTGTGACCCTGTGCCATTATGTAAGGCAAGCAGCCATCCTCTATATCCAAGTGGGTCACGTGTTCTTCCCCTTTCCCTTCACACTCAGGCCCTGTGAACCAAGTAGACAAACCAAAGAGATTTCTTCTTCGCCTCCCTGTTGGCCTCAAGGTTCCTGGGCGTGAGGCCGATTACTCCCTTCCTCAGCAGCCTTGCAGGTCCCAGGCAGCCGGCCAGCCCGGTGCCAGCGATGCCCCCAGCACGGAACAGGGAAGTGTAACAGCACACAGTCCATAAAATCAAGCAGTTACAAGTCCTAAGGGGGGGAACTTGGACCAGAGCTGCTGCTGGATGGTGAGACCTGTGACCCCCCCGGGGCCAGGGACACCCCCACCATCCTCTGCTTCCCCTGAGGATTGAGTGACTCGTCTTCTTTTATATAATTTTTAGACTAGACTATGATTGCTATATTGACATGTATATCTGCAAATGGTCTAGAAGACCAGAAAGTTCTGTATTACACTACTTATAAAGTGTGTGACATTGATTCTTCTTGTAGAATTCCTGTGCCATTCTAATAATAAATTCTATGCTATACCAATTACAATATCTTATTAAAAAATAAAGCTTTAATTGTAACTATGGTTTAGTTCTGTTGTCATTCTGCCAAGGATCCCTAAAAAAGCCCCTTATCTGTCTCCTCAGTGTCAGGTGACAGGGATGAAAGCATCATACAAATCATATCATACAAATCACTTTTTTTCCTTCTGAATAGATCTTTGTGACCAACAAGTGGAAGCTCATTGGTCTTGAACAAGACACCAGACAGCTGCCATGATGTGGCTTTAGTCAGCATGCACAAACAACAACTTCTGCTCCATAACTGCACTGCACCAGGTTGGGCTGTTTTCATAGGCACCTGCTCACAGTCTCCAGCCATTTCCTGAGCCAAACAATCACCGCCTGACTGGTTTGTTGTGGAGCCAGTATCAGTCTTCTCAGGGCTTCAGGGCTGAGGCCGTTTCATAAAATCTTCCTGACCAACCTATTTCCCACAGGGATGCAAATGCAAATCATCCTTCTTCTGCCAGTCAAAACACCACTTCTGTACTCATCCCATTCCTCTTCTCCTGCTGGGGACACAAGCTACCAGGGGCTATGGACAGAGCAGGACATTGACATGGAGCCACAAGGAGCTGGGAGCAGGGGCTGGCACTACATAGCTCACTCTCCTGAGATGGCAGCAGACACACAGAGCAGCAGAGGAGATGATGAGCTACTGGGAAAGAGGGAATCCAAACAGGGAGAAAAGAAAACTGAGGGAAAGGAGGCTCAGACAGCTGATGTCTTCTGAGCGGTGTTCCCTGAGAAACAACAACTTTCACAGACATTCTCTTGCCCAAAATAATGCAAAGGTCACACATGAATATGCCATCACTACAAGTTAGAGAAGACAAAAATAAAGTGACTGTTCATAACACCGTGCCGTAAAAATGGGTTACCGCTAGTTTTCTTAGCTACAGGGGTTTTATGGGTTATGTAATGTACCTGCTTTCTCTTCATAATCAGTACAGCCATCTTATATATGACAAAAACAGCAGAGAAAAGGCTAATTTAAAAACCCACATAAGAGTACAGTTAAGTTTAAGACTCAGTTATTAGCCTACCTACTATTTTTGTAGTCAAATTTGGTGCTCAAAGGAACAGGTTATTAAGACTCAAGATACTAGGTTAACTTATACTGAAGAAAAAGTTTAATTCCTACACACATGTTAAAGTGGCATCCTTATGACATAATTTCTTTGCTTAATTTAGATCCTTACTGTTCACTTTAAGTACAGTCTTTGATACACTTTTTACAACAGAAGACTATGAGTATATAATACAACATAATGGTGCTGCAGTAATGCAGATACTACCACTTATATGCTTGTGTCCCTGTCTGAACTAAGAATTTCTCTGGTATTAGTAAAAATTCACAGTTCAACCAGGCTGAGGTTGCCAGTTAGCATTCTGGGGTTGGGAGCAATTTGTTTGCTACTATTGGTTCAGACATACAAGCTTTCAACACTTGGCTTAATTGGACAATTAAAAAAATGCCCTGAAGCCCAAGAGACAGTAGAATACAACTGAAGAAAAAAACATGTCAAGGAAAGTAATTTACCAACTAGAGCCCATGCAAAGGCACAACACTTTCAAAACTTTATTTTTTTCCATACTAAACTTTTTTCTCCCAATTTGAAGGGAAATGAGTTCATGAGTGCAATTCTAACAAAAGTATGTTCTTGAAGTCTTGTTTTCACATGGTCATTTTTGCTACCTTTGGATAGGTGCTCAATGGAGACAAAACACATAAAGAGCATGAATCTGCTGAAAAGTATTCCTGATGGCAAAAGTGGTTAGAATGCATTGCCTTTGCACTATTATGTGAAAATGGAGCTCCAGCACCCGAGAAAGTCAGATTCTATAATAATAAGTCACTATAACCAGTATGTTAATTACTGCATTTCAGTCAATCTAAATTTGGCAAATACCATATATAAGCAATTATTCCATGATACAGACAGTTCCCTAGCCAGTAAACTATCAGCTGTGGAAACTACTGCCTTTTCTCTATATCTCAGACTAACACTTAGCTCATTGTTTTTCCTTCTGCCCAGCTGAATCAAATCAGTTGAGGGACTGTTAGTAACACTGGCTTGGATAGCCAGTGGAAAATTGCTGCCATTTTGTAGCTAAAGAAAATTCAAAACATGAGAAATTATTTGCAATGTGTTCCTAGTAAAAGTAAATGGTAGCCACCACTGAGACTGACAAATAGGAAATCATACTGTACTTGTACAACTCACATGTACCTACCTCCTGCAACTGGTTTGTCCAATGGTACATCTTCTCGTGCTGAATTTAAGAGCTCATGCCTAAAAGATTTAAGATACATGCTTCAACAGTGACATATACTTTGATAAACCAGAAGTTACAGCCTACAGTTACAGCCTCAAGTCACCACTGAAAGATCAAAAAAAATACAGGGAACACCACGATACCCAACATAAAATTTCAATTAACACAGAAGTATTTTAAGAGCTGGTTGGAACCCTAACGACAAAAACATTTTTTACACCTGATACCAATATCCACTTGAGCCATAATGTTTCATGGTAACACACAGATTACATTAAAATTATCTCTGAGGCCTAAGACACGCTTAATCAGAAACAAAAGATCCAAACCAAAAATTTAACCTTTAAAATTTAAAATCTCAAACAGACATTTCTGCTTCCCAAATACATATAGTTTTATCCATATTAGAAAAATTAAAAAAAAAAAAAAAATTCTGACATTTCTCAGAGCTGAACTAGTTTTTGAGCTGAACTGGTTACCACACATTAAAAAAAAAACCTGATGAACAGCATTTATTAATTGCTGTTAAGAACTATGACAAATTTGACAAGAGCAGGTGTCAGCATTGCATAAATATTAAAAACTATGCATAGTGTCTGAGTTTAAGTGAGACAAAAGGTAGATCTACAATTCTTCCTCTTTTCTGGCTATCTGCAAGTGTTAGGACGACAGAAACTGAACATAAACCTCTCAAATTTGAGAAACTAGCATCTGTGCTAAAGGCAGCATACACAGAGGCATGGGCTGTCACTACCACCAATTCTGAGCCTGACCACTGCAATCAGCAGATCCCTATCCACTCCCAAAACTGTTAGATTAGGCCCTACACCACTGAACAACAGTAAAACGTCAGCTGTTACTCACAGAAGCTTCATTTAAACTGTCGATGCCCATCTGTGGTGTGAAACATCACATCTGTCTGGAGTGAAGGACCAAACTATAAAGGGTAGATATCCGCCCACCACCAAAGCTGCGTATCAGTCCGCCGCAGCCGTAGCTGCAGTACTGTATCTCCAAGTGCTCTGCAGCTCTCAGATCCAGCACTTGGCATCCACAGATGCCGACATCTCTCCCTGTGTATCCTGAATTCAGGCTCTGTCCAGGCTCCCTTCCAATACCCCCTGCCTTTGCAGGAAGTAACGTCAGGGTTCTTCCAGGAAAGACACCAGGGCAGGGAAGGAGAGGAAGAGAAAGAAAGGAGCCCACAACATCTCATGTCCTCACTTTAAAGGCAGATGATAACCTGCCATGCTAGCTACGGCAGGCAGCCGAGCCCTCAAGCAGTTTCCATGTACATCTCAGGTCTCGCTTCATGTACACTATCTGATCTTCCTCCAGACACACATCCAGCTAAATCACAGGAACCAGTAGCTATTTTGGCCTCAAGCCTGCCCTGGGAGATGCTATATACAGATACAGCCATAGACACCTCGATACAGCACTCCAACAAGAAAAAAATAAAAGCGCAAGCTGAAATTTAGGCCAGGACTCTCAGCATAAAATAACCCCAAGTCAATGGCTTTCAACATGTATTACGGATGAAGAGGTTAACATAGCACAAAGAGATCTGGCCATGACAAGAAGTCCATAATATTGAAGAGATCTGTCCAGATCTCACCCACCACTGTGGTGTGCTGGTGATCTGAAAAACTGCATTTATCAGAGTGAACATTGACTAAAAATTACTCATCAGTACTGCAAAAGAATATGTGAATGGAAATCAGTTTGGAAGTTCTTAAAGATAAAATGAAGCAGACTGGAGCCAGCAGAAAACAATGAGCAATATAGGGACAAAAATGCAAAATGCCTTACTTCTTAATCACAAACCGGATCCGCTCCTTTGCTAGAAGTATCCTCTCAAGACGGGGAATGCCGTACGTGGATGGCCGCCTGAAGGGAATTCCTTCTGGCAGCCCTTCCACATATAAGTCTTCCACATGTGACTGAAAGAGTGGGTATGGGATAGACACTGGACCTTTTGCTTTGATAGCTTGAGCTTTGGGAAAAAAGGAGAATAAAAACATATGACTATCTTGTGGCTCTACTCAAATTATCTGTTTGATATCACTGAAAAAAATCAAAATTAGCAAGCAGCCAATAACCCCCTCAGCACATTTAAACATGCAAACATTCATATTTGTGGGGGGTTGATTTTGTTTTATAGCAAAATCACTCTAATTCAGTAAACAAGCTGCAGCCCTGCACACATACGCAGATTCTCCTTTCCCTTTACTCTGTAAACACTTAATAACAGAGACTGCACCTGTTAGAGTGAAGTTTCACAGTATTTTGGTTTTGTTTAATAGCACATTTTGAAAGATGAAATTATCTAGATAATTATAAACCAAGCGTGTTTCAGTTCATTACCTCTCATTATTATTATTTGTTACTACTATTGGGTTACAAGAGTCAATAATGCCTTGGAGGAGGAGCACACATCCCTTTTTTTGAGTGAATTCTTAAAACTTCAGTGTATTTTAGAAATCCAAGGAATCACTAATGAAATAAACAATACACTTCTAACACCTTCGAAAAAAGCATGGCTCTATTAGTGAAATATTTGAAGCAAATTAAAAGCAAGTAACAGATTTACCCACAGCTGGAAAATAACCTCAATGTATCTCTTTAGGTTATGAGGACCATTATCGTATCAATACACCCACCAGGCTGGCAAATACCGGAGAATGGCACGATGGTTTGCAAATACCAAGAGGGCTGATTTCTTTATACTCACAAGGGTATGTTAATTTTGTAGGCCATGCAACAAGAATTCCCTGCTACCATCTGACTGGTCTGCAAACAGTTTGGTACATTTTGTTGTTTTGCTATGGAAATTAGATGCAAAAACTGTTTCAGGAGAGAAAAGCCAAGCTAAGGCCAAATTAGAGTACAGTGATGTTGAGGCAGTGTTTCTGAAAACAAAACTACTCAGAGCACCTTTTCAATCCATTTAATGTGAAAGTGGCCCATGGTTCAGACATGGTATATACAAAATGCTCACATTAACTCACAAATTCTCAAAAGCAATAAAACAATTTAGGTTTTAAAGGCATTTGGGTAACATACTCTTTCAACCACTTGGAAGCAGAACTGTTCAACCTATGTTTATCAAAAAACAGGGAAGCTTTGAAAATACTGTATGTATCTTAGATATTCTGATCAGAACCAAATATTAAAATTTTAGAAAACTGTGAGAACAACTATGTTTCAACTGGCAAATATAAGATGGCCAAAACTGGAGACAGAGGATACATACCGAGAAGGACATGAACCTGAAGATGACTCTTCACAAATACAATAAAGCAACCCTATTGAAACTTGTATCAAAGGAGCTATAGATCACCATTAGAGCTGTTGTGTATCACATCAGTCCTTCATTAAAGTAGATTTTTATTGCAGTCATATACCTCTTGCAAGAAATTAAAAGAATTACTCTCAGCCCTGGAAGCTGTTGTGGAAAGTGGTGAAAGGCGTTAACAAATACAGCAGACAAGCCTCAGATGGAAATGAGCATTTGTGAACCACACTTATCCAACAAGAAAAAAGATCATCATTAAAATCTAGATCACTACACAGCATCAAGTAAAAACAGCTTCAGAGCAACAAAAATCCTGCTTGCTTAAGTAAGTAAGTAACAACAGGTAAGTTTTTACAAGTCTTTATTTCTCTTAAATCAGCAAATGTTTTAGCAATGACTCTTCAGATAGCCTAAGAACTCAACCAGCATCCAAGTCTGCAGTGAGATTTCTAGATTTGGCACCTTACACAGTTTTGCATAGAAATCCTATTGAATATTGGTTTCATTTTTATAAATTAGACTGTATTTGTGAGCCACTATCTTGTATTTACACTATAAAAAGTAATCCCATTTAGTTTCCATCTGAACACAAAAATAAATTCATTTTTAGACACATCAGTTATAATGGATGACAATGACTGATACTGCTAAAACACTTTGGAGCTCCGGAAGCCAACAAATCTGAAGAGCATTCTGGGAACTCTGGACATCCAAAACTCATTTCAGTAAGTAGGTAATTACATGCCCATACAGACAGAAATAATTGGAATCTGATATAGAATTGGTTTGTGAATCAATGAATGTCATCCACAGGGAAAAAGGGGATCATTTAATACCACCTAGCCTGCTAATAAGTCAGGAATAGCTCTGTATTCAACAGACTCCACAGATTTTTAGGCTGGCTATGTGCAAACACCGAAATCAAAATTAAAGCAATTCATGAAGAATCATGCTCCTTTCTAGAGCAATTAAATCAGATTCAGAACTCTTTTTACTTGGTGTGATTTGCTTTCAGTGGGCTGTTTAAATGTCAGATGATAGTCACACCCAAAACATGTAGAAACTCCAACATCACAAGGTCCATTCTGAAAGCACTTCCACTTTTCATGGCAGAAGAGCACCACCATTTGTTTTGAGATTTTTGATGAAGCTGTTTTAGTCTGTGTATGTGGACATAAAATATGTCTAGGTGCAACACCTCGAGACACATTCCAACATCTAACACATGTGCTTCTTTTTCTCTCCAAGAAACATTAACATAATTGCTGCTTCACCGCAAATCAATCATAATCAGAAAGGAACTATCAATCAATAGTAACCTCTCCCCAAAGCCATTTTAAAAGATTATTTCACTTCAGGATTCATTGTAACTACAGAAGAAAGGCCAGCTCTCTCAAATGTGGGTGGCCCCAGACATGAGCACACTGGAGCTTTAGAAAAATGAGCACAACTGAAAAACAAAATCAAGTTTTGCACTTGGGTGCTAAACACAGGCACTCAATTTTGAAATCACTCTGCTCATCAAAAAAGCTACTTTTTCCAGTTTTATGACTTACAATATTTAACCCTTTGGTGCTGTCAGTACTGCTGTGCTCCTGAGCCAACAAGATGCATGCCAAAGATGTGATTTATGATGTCAAAGGACTAGAGGCAATTGTTTGGAAAGGAGTGTAACACATACCATATTTTTTTTCAAACAGCTCTTCAACTTGCTTTCTCAAGTCTGTAATTCGTGCATTCCATTTCTCTGCAAATTAAAGAGGAGGACATGTCAAACTACAAATGAAACTGAGAATCTGTCTTAAAATCTATGTTACCACTAAATGAAATATGCAGTGTGCTTTTACTGTTCACTTGCACACAGGTGCCTTTGGAATATGGTATAGGCTATACCTTAAAATACATGGATACTCTCACAAGGAATAAGGATAGAATAAGATGTTTTAGATTACCTCCAAAACTTGTGCAGATGTTAAATGACGTTTAAAAAAAACAAAAACAAAAACAAAAACAAAAAACACCAGGCTAAAGTAACTTCCAAAATGGCTTCTCTTTGTCAGCTCGGCTAGCAGCTCTCACTACCATCAGGGGTAAAGTCAGTTTGCAGCCACTCTTAATAGTTATCTAAATCTGGGTGCTGAAAAGCCTCCTTAGTGATAAAGCTATGGCAAGTACATGAAATTGTTTTGGCACATATCTGTAAAAGTCTCTAGGCCAGGAGGCATCATGCCGTCCTCTACCTTAATCCAGTATTTCTCCAAGTCCTGATGTTGCAAAACATCCCCATAAATCCTATTTCTGAAAGAAGATACAGGCTGCAAGACAGAAGTTATCCACATCCAATCATGTGTTCCATGAAGAGCTGGATTAAATGGCAGGATTTTAACATCTCATTTTCTGCCTGTCACAGACAGCATGAGTTTTTCACAGCTTTTTTTGTACTATCTCAATGCTTTTAGGAAAATGTCAGAACTCTATTGTAGATGGTACCAAATGCTGGCTGTCCTTTTGAGTTAATAAGCAAGTGTACTTACAGCTTATTTCTCATACCAAAGACTTGAATCTAACAACTACAAAGGTCAAAAAATCAGGCCATTCAAGCTATTACAGTTCCAGTTGCCAAAAAATTATTGTATCAGACAACACAGAGGATTGAATTTTGAGTCTGTATTGAAAGGTGTTTAAATATTCATTCCCTGACCAATGGACACAACTTTGGTGGCCATGTTTAAGCTTTTTTTTTTTTTTTAATGTCATTTCATGCATATCAATAGAACAACATGCTTCAGATGCAGGAAAGAATAAGAACTTGCTTAGAGAGGGAAGGGTGTTTTGGCATGCTGCCTTGAGTCCACACATAAACTTTTCATTTTTGGTTATCTGGCACATCACCTACATCAATGAACCTGTCTACATGTTTAAATAACCTCCTTGTGGATAAATCTATATAATTGCTTCTGTCACCCTTTTTACTGTTATCCCGTAGTGCACAGCTTTTTGGTTGATAAACATGTCTTGAGTTCAATGTTTTGTATTCCTGCGTCACTTCAACCATGTATTATTTCCCCCTTTAACTGCAGATGTACAGCCACATGAAGCTCGCTCTGATTCTAGCACAACCAACTGCATTTTTTTGCTGACTTACAGAACAATGGATTAACAGCAACTTTTCCAGTAAGTCAGGAAAATACGAGTCAGAATTTACTGGCCTAAAGGTGAAACCTTGCTTCTCAACAGAGCTAGTGAACACACATGGTCAGTCCTGGCACAACGGTTTTGAAAGGCACCTGTGTGACTCCAGATTGCAACCCAGAGGAAAGCGCCACATAGTTGAGGTCCCTTCAGTTCATCAAGCTCTGAAGCAGAGTCGGCAAACAACCTCCTCAAACTCAGCCTGGTTTTTGTCAGAGGAAGAGCAGCCAGAAAGAACGTCAGACCACATTACAAAGCAACCAAATAAAAATATGTAAATTATACTGTTCTGAATATTGGTTGGTGCTGCAATTTTAGGAGAAGCTGCTCCCACCCAGCCTGGTCTCCCTCTGCTTGTTAGCACGCTCACAATAGTGTTCCTACATGAGCAATTAAGTCAAGGTTTAATTTTTCTCAGTTAGCAAACCAACCACTGGCCAAATATTCCATGTGGATCTTTTCAAGCAACTGCTTCTGTGCCCCTCTTCCTCCAGTGGAAGCACTACAGGGATTAATAATCAAATCCACCACAAAACAGGCATGTTTATTTGAAATAGTTTGTACGCAGAGAATAGACAATTGAAAAAAAAAAAAACAAACCAAACCTAAACTGGCTCACAATTTGATCAGCACACCATTTTTTTTTTTTAGCTACTTTTGTATTTGATGAGTAAATCGCCAGGTTAGGCTATAGAGATATTTCAAAATTCAGAGGAGTTATCAAGTAATTGGCATGATTTTTAATCATATTGTCAGCATTATAAAACCCTTGGATTCATACCGATTACCAGAAAAGCACTATTTTGTCACACACTTTGCGCTCATGTAGCAAAGTGGAAGACCTATCACAAAGTGTCGTGGTTTGAGCCTGGTCGGCAGCCAACCACCATGCAGCCACTCACTCCCCCTTCTCTTCCAGCAATAAGAAGGGACAGAGAGCCAGGCTTGGGGTTCGACATAGGACTGAGATGGGGAAGAATCCCCCTTTATGGGCACGAGCAAAAGCCAGACTTGTTAGGGGAAGAAAAAAAAGAACATACATTTATTACAGACACTAACAACACTTAACAGAGTAGGACAGTGAGAAGCATTGCCACATCTTGAGAACACCTTCCCCCCACCCCTCCCTTCTTCCCAGGCTCATTCTGCTCCCGATATCTCTACCTCCTCCCCCAGTGGCGCAGGGGCAGGGAATGGGGGGTGCAGTCAGCGCTGCCGCTTCTGCCAACTTCTGTGGGGGGATGTCCTGGGTTGAGTGAGTGGAGGAGTTTTTTGGTGGCAGGGGAGGGGGCTATCGGGGCAGCCCCCTGTGAGAAGCTTCTCGAAGCTCCCCCAGCTCCAAGTCAGCTCCACTTCTGTTTGGGAAATTGAGCCAATCAGCTGCGCCTCTGCGATAACGAATTTAAGAAGGGACGTGGTGACGGGCAGTCGGACTTGTGAGGAGGAGTCGCTGCAGCTGCATGAACACCAAGGTCTGTGGAGGAACGGAGGAAGAAAGGAAGGGGGAGGTGTGCTGGAGCAGAGACCCCCCTGTATCCTGTGGGGAGACAGCAGGGCGGCCCCCCCTGCCACCCATGGAGATCTACGGTGGAGCAGACATTGATTTATGGCCTGTTGCTCCTGCTCAAATGATCAAGGTTCTGTGCCCGAAGAAGGCCGGGGTCTCATGGGAAAAGGCAGCCCCGCTGCTGTAATTCAGTGCTGGGAGGATTGCAGCATGCGGGGGAGTCCCACGCCGGAGCAGCTCGGGAAGGGCTGCAGCCGTGGGAGAGAATCCAGTCGGAGAAAGTTGGTGACCCGTGACAGAGCAGAGTGGGGAACGCTGCGGCCCATGGGAGGAATTCAAGTCAGAGAAAGTTTGTGGAGGACTGTCTCCTGTGAGAGGGGGACCACGATGGAGCAGGAGGAACAGGTTTCGGACACTCCCCTCATCGAAGACGAAGGAAGTGGCAGCGCTGACTGCACCCCCCATTCCCTGCCCCTGTGCCACTGGGGGAGGAGGTAGAGATATCGGGAGCAGAGCTGAGCCCGGGAAGAAGGGAGGGGTGGGGGGAAGGTGTTCTCAAGATGTGGCAATGCTTCTCACTGTCCTACTCTGTTATGTGTTGTTAGTGTCTATAATAAATGTATGTTCTTTTTTTCTTCCCCTAACGAGTCTGCCTTTTGCTCATGATCATAAAAGGGGGATTTTTCCCCATCCCAGTCCTATCTTGAACCCCAAGCCTGGCTCTCTGTCCCTTCTCATTGCCGGAGGGGAAGGGAGAGAGAGAGCTGCTGCATTGTGGTTGGCTGCCAATTAGGCCTAAACCACAACAGGGGAGCTGCTGGAACTTCTTCCCCCTGCTCCATCACGGTCCCCCTCTCACAGGAGACAGTCCTCCACAAACTTTCTCTGACGTAAGTCCCTCCCATGGGCCGCAGCGTTCCCCACACTACTCCATCGTGGGACACCATCCTTCTCTGACTGGATTCCCTCCCACGGCTGCAGCCCTTCCTGAGCTCCTCTGGCGTGGGACACCCCCACATGCTGCAATCCTCCCAGCGCTGAACTACAACAGCGGGGGCTGCCTTTTCCCACGAGATCCCGGCCTTCTTCGGGCACAGAACCTTGATCATCCGGGCAAAAAACACAGGCCATAAATCAGTGTCTGCTCCACCGCAGATCTTCATGGGTGGCGGGGGGCCTGCCCTGCTCTCTCCCCACAGGATACAGGGGGGTCTCTGCTCCGGCACACCTCCCCCCTCCTTTCTTCCTCCATCCCTCCACTGATTTTGGTGTCCACGCAGCTGCCGCAACTCACAAGTCCAACTGCCCGTCACCACGTCCCTTCTTAAATACGTTATCGCAGAGGTGCAGCTGATTGGCTCAGTTTTCCAAACAGAAGTGGAGCTGACTTGGAGCTGAGGGAGCTTTAAGAAGCTTCTCACAGGGGGCCGCCCCTATAGCCCCCTCCTCTGCTACCAACACACCCCACCACTCATTCAAACCCAGGACACAATGCTAAGCTGATACTCTGCAAAGCAGTTTAGTTTTCCTGTAAGCACCAAGATAACTGGTTTCCTTCTATTCCTATATATATACACCTTCTGATACATGTGAAACACCATCCCATTTAAATAACAATTCTGAAAACTTCCCCAGTCTGTTCACAGTCTCTTCAGTTTATCCCATTCTCTGATCCTTGGGGACATGCTCCAGATAACACCCACTACAGTAGGGACAACCTGCACAGTGCACACCAAATGATGCTGCTCAGGTACTAAGCACATTCCTATTCCCATCAACATGCCACACAGTACTCTGTGGGGATATAAAATGGAAAACAAACAGCAACTCTAAGCATGCTGCAGGCTGGCAAAACCTGAGCTCAACGGTGTGTCAAAACAGGGAAAAACTATACACACTTTCCATCACTGTCATAATGAGACAACAGCTACGCGGACTTTTTTCCCACTAAAATGGTATGACACAACTGCAAGACACAACTTGAAGCTTATGAGCTTTTGATAAAATCTCTAAGAAAGCAAAAAAACATTCTGGGAAGAGATTTTTACTGACAACATCAGTTCATTTCAGCAAAGGTATTTTTAACCTTAAAAAGTTGGTTCAGAAATATTTTTGAAATCCAACCTCCCTTCCCAAAGATTATAAATTTTTATCAAGCATTTTACCAGACACTTTTCATCCCTCCCCCAGTTACAATTATTTTGTTTTCCTGTTTCCACAAAACTAAGAGCACAGCACATTATTCATCTTGTTTCTCAGGCCACTTGAGGTACCTGATCTCTGACTCAGTGCAGACATACAGGAAGTCTCTCCAACCCACAGCTATCAAACATCTGGATCTTGTCAGTGTTACAAAAAAATACTGAAAGTCTTTATCAGATGAGACAGATTTTTCTCTCCAGCATCGAAACCTCCTTTTCAGTCTTCTGAGTGAATGTGCCTTTGTCATTCTGCAGCTATTCTTGACAGGATTCACCTCCTTTCTCTGTCCAGTTACCTATTAGACTTCATTAGACAAAAGCGCAAAGTCTTCTGAAATGTCCAAACAGCAGCACTGCAGCTACCAACAGTTGCTCTTTTTTTTCAGTATGGCAAATGAAGTCTATTTCTCCTAAGCTTCTCACATGCATTTTGTGTTTTAACCAGACCTTGCATCACCGTAGAGAAATACCACTTTCTGCAGGCGAACCCCAAAAGTGAATATGAGGGGAAGGGCAATAACCGCAATGCAATTTAGAAAGCTCAGGAATAAAGATCTCTGAATAACCTGAGTTGCAAAACGCTGTAATCTAACTGCACAGTAGGTGGTTAAGAGCAAAGTTTTCTTTAGTACAGCCCAGTGAGATAATCTTCCAAGTCAACTCAGAAGCAAGTGATGTGTTCTTAACTGGTATTTCAACACTGCAAGCTCAACTCAAACTTCTTTTGTCCTAATATTTTATTACTTTTGCTCTCCATGTCCAATCAACCTCACCGTTTATTCCCTTCAAACACTGCTAGCCTGTCAAGCTTAGATGCTGTTTTCTACTAAGAGAATATATTCTAGCAAAAGCTTCTGCAGTATTAACTGCTCAGTCTTCTCCTCTACTAATGTCGCCATTACGGTCTCCTGACCCAACCAAAACTCACTAAAGCTACATGTGGAACTGCCTATTAGTATTAATGATCTTTTGAGAATAGAGCTCTCAATGATGTTTTATTCATTTTTGCCGAAATTAGCATGAAATAATGTTTCATGCAAAACAGATGTCAGAAGAGGTTCCATGGGAATTTTTCAATTGACCTCAAATCCCAGCATTCCTAATAAACATCTCAAACACTGTGCCAAAGAATATATTCCTGATTGTTCAGAACGTCATAGAAGTAAACAGATTCATGGGATATCTGCCCAGAAACCAAACCAAAACAAGAAATAACGGAGAGGTATGGGGCTGCAACAAATCACATGGGAAGTATCTTTAACCAGAATAACTAGAGTGTGAGGATGCATATCTGCAGTGAGAACTCTACACAGGCTATCATGAAGACTACCAAAAAAACCCCAACTTTTTGTGTGTCCACAGGGATCAAGGCAGGCTACTCGGCATAACAGAGTCATTTGGCTACCTTCCCAACGTGGCTCCCTTCTGCAAATCTTCACTGTTCACAGCACTTAAGATAGACGAGCTAGACAGGCTCCTGCCCTCTGGTTTGCCATAATTCAGTACACTAGTAAATTCTGTCTTACCTTCTTGTCCAGGAAATCAGCTGATAAAAATCCAGACCTATTTTTATTTAGTTGCAGTGTCTATTTAGATGGTCACTTTGAATAATGAGAAACAACAGAGGTAGCCTATGACGATGGTGATTATACTGCTGCAATACCTGTACAGAGCCCTGGGCTCTTAAATGAATACTCGCAGTGGTGTCTCTCATTTCTGCAGTGTGAAATTGTCTGGTACCTCTTTATAAAACAAAGCAGAGACACAAAATAATCTTTAATTTTTATCTTACCAAAATTGAACTCTCTCACTTTTCTTCTCCCAGTAGTGGCAGTTTCATTAGCTGACTCGGTGTTCTTAGATCTCTTGTTAGGGGGTAAGTAGTCATCATCATCATCTTAAAGAAACATAAAAAGATCACTGTTTTAATGTCCAGAGAACTCATGCGCAACATTGGAATGGCTTTGAATTTCAAAGCTCTAACGCAATTATTGAACTGTGCTTTATCAGGGCATCAAATTTTGCAATTAATTACTTATCTGAGTAACTTTAGAAAGCTACTGGCCTGTAGGAAAAGTGTGCATAAGACAGCCAGCACAAGGCATAAAATAGCAAAAAGCAAAGCTGCTTCTGTACTTCCAAAGGCAAACAATATTGTGTTCAACCACGCAACAGCAAAAGAAATTGGGAAATAAGTTGTACAGACATAGACTGTATTTTTTTGTCTAACTGGAAGTATCCTTCCACTAGCAAGTTTTGAAACACAGTACCTAAGTATTATCTTGAAGAACTCAAAGGTGCTAAAACTGGTTTCAAATCAGTGGAAAAATGATGGACATAACAAACTCATTTAACAGGTCAGCTCTACCTCAAACACACAGACAGAGGGGGAAAACTGCAAACCCCAGCCATTCTTCAGTGAGCTGCTACTTAGCCAGTCACTTCCCAATCCAGAACACTATCTTCCCTACCAATTAATGTGTTTTTAAGACTGTCCAATTACCAATACCTGCAACCTTAGAAAAGACAAATGGTTAACGCACACAAAGAAAATTAAAGTTACATTCCACATACAAAATAGCAGCTGCCCAGGTCACCAAGGGTATAGTTTACTTAGGAAGAATAGTATTACATATTGACATCTCTCACATCTATGCTGTTGTATTATATTCTGTTAGAGAAAACCTTTTCAGATCATTTTTACTTCAGTAGCAAAAGCCTTTACATATACACTGAACTTAACAACTATTCTCTTATTACCTTTTCTGCTGAGGCAAGAATTAGTTTACTGCTGGATTGTAAAAAGGTTAAAGTAATGCCAGAAGTGTCAACTTTGTCCTAAAACACACTGCCTATTTTCTAAATTGCTAATTTGGTGCTCTTAATCTTACCCATTTGAGAAGCAAGCATTGTAAAAGCCAATCTCAGAAGTGTTTTAAAGCAGTCACAGGACATGTAAATCACAAACAGAAGAAATACAACCACCATCCTAGCACAAGAACAACATGGGCGCTGGTTAGAGGCTTTAGTGCCATTTAGATGAGAAAGAGAGGTGGTAAGTATAAAGGTTTTTATCTCATATTTACCAGTATTAGACAAATAAATTGAAGTTTCACTTACACCACCTGTAACACATCATTTCTGTTATGGTACCATTCTTCCCAGAAGCTAGTGTTAATTAGAAACTTTATATAACTACAGTGTGTTTGTAAAACAATGTGTTTGTCAGAATGAATGCTGTAAAATATTTTTAAAAATCTAAATTAATGGCTGCTGAATAATAAGTATTCTTCATTACCAATATGCTTCAGCATATTGTGGTTTTATAAAACTTCTGGACTATATAAGTTTACTAAGTAGTGTACTATCCAAACTGCAGTCAACACTGGCACATAATCCTATTTATTCAGTGCCAAGTAATGCAGGCACTGTAAAACATTTTTTGGACATAAAAATGCCCAGCGGACTGAAATCAATGAACTGGAGAACTAACCTTCAATGGTGACCTCGACCTCAGGATCCTCACTTGCTTCTGAAGGGGCCTGCTGGGAGGAATCTGAAGGAGGGGAAAAACAGGACTGCTAAATGACAGACATAAAAAATTTTTAACCAAACACTCCATGACTTTGTATTTAAACTAATACTTGTCAAAGAAGCCCCTGGCTCACTGAAATGTTCTGCAGAGTGTGCAACAAAAACAGTACCGAAGATATTTTACCATAAGCTTTTAAGCAATACTAGGCAAGGGTAAGGAGGTGGGGCTTATACTTGCCAAACTGCGTGTGCAGCAATGCAGAGCTGGTGTTAATGACAGTAGGAAATTCTTTATTCTTGGCTTAATAGGATTAATACAATCATAAATATTTCTCCCTTTGTTATCAAGGGTTACTGAAATATAAACAAAGGCTGTGTGCCCCTACAGATGATATATTTCTTTACCATTTATATGGACTCGTAGTTGTTGTGCTATAATGATTTCCATAACAGGCTGCAAGGCCAACAGTGAAAAATGAGAAGGAAATTCATAATCATAATGCCTTTGTTGGGGTGGTCTTCACCAACATAATAAATAGGATTAGGCCTATCGATACTTGGAGAAAGAGCAATTTGCATTTAACTGCAGTCAAGTTTAAAAAAGTGAAGCTAATTATATTGGAAACTATTTCAAAACAAAGTAGCAGTGTATGAAGAAATATATTTTAATTATTCTGGCAGAATAATGCTACGCTTTGCATTTTGAAGAGTATCTTCTTTCAGATCTCTGTAAGCTGCAAGTCTGAAGGAATCTCTGTTTCAAAGGCTCTGCATTTGATGCCGTATATAGTAAAGATTCAGCAGTATCTACTGAGACACCTTAACCGGAGTATATTTAAACTATGTCAAATATATCACCTAGTTCATGGAAAACATAGTATGGTGTTTTGATCTAATTTGGAGCAAGTGCTGCGTAGATAACTAGCAAACGCAAAGCACAACGAAAGGAAAGAATAAGGAGGTAATGGACTTTTAGTAGATGTGAACATAAAGTATGGTCATAAAAATAACTATCACATCAACTGATCACTTAAAACCTTTTTTGAGAGCATCAGAAAAGTTTTTTTAAAAAAATAAAATAAATACAACTTTCGGAAATTTAAGAACAGCCACAAAGATTAGCAAGTGGTCAATCTAGTCCAGTACCAAATCCCTGAGAAATAGCCATAATTAAGAGAAACATGCAAAAATGTCAAAGCATGTAGTAACAAAGTTCTGGAAGAAAACTCCCAGATGGGATATTTCTTCTTAAATCATATTAAACCAACTGGCTTAAACACTAAAGTTTGGGGTTTTTTTAACAAAGTATTATCATCACTAGGTATTTTTTGATCTGAGGTAAATACACACAGCTCCTAAGCAGCAGCCTTCTTCATAGTTCTAAATGTTGTCATTTGCTGGCACTGTCTCCAGTTTCTCAAACATGATTTCATTCAGTTTAAAACAATTTCTTTTGATGCACATAACCTTAACTTTCTGATTGCTAAATTTCAATCACACCATGCTCCCCACACATCCAATTTCAACTAAGACCTCAGACACCTTTATCAGCTACAGCTAATCTGGGGGATTCCAGGCACATGTTAATTCTGCCACTTCCTTTTTCACCATCGTGTCAAGGTTACTGGAGGGGAAAACAGTGAAAACCCCCGGTGATATACACCAAACGTTCGTACACCCCCCTGATGTTCTTCTTCGAAGAAAACAATCATTTCTGAAAATCTTCTGCATTACAGGCCGTAGCTTTCAGACAAACTTTCAGAAGAACTTTAAATGCCTATTATATGTATTTCTTTAATAATAGAAAGATATACACCAAAGACTTCATAACATCCAAACATTGTCATTGATTTTTCTTTCTTACTCATTTTTGTGAAGATCAGCAATAAATAATTTTATTTTACAGAATCCAGATGAGACTGCCTGTGTTGTATGCCTATTTAAACAACAAATTAAATTTAAGTTAGACTGTTATTTTCAATTTTTATCACTGCCTACAGACCTTTTCATAAATACTGACCTTCATGAACAACAGGTTTATTCTATTCAGCAAAATCAAGGTGCAACTTTCAGCATATCTCTTACAGAAAATTGTAAAGGAGAACAGATTTGAAAAAAGGGTGTGTAACAAAACCATATTCTGACACAAAGGGCCACACTCAGCATCTGTAGCTATAAAGTTCCACACAGTCAAAACCAAAGCAAAATCAGAGTCTTGGTCATTTCGTATCACACTTGCCTTTCCTCGGGCTCTCTTCACAGTCAGACATAAAGCTCATGGCATTATGCTTAGAAAAACAAAGCACCTAGATTATTTATTTTCAAATAAGTGGAGTTAGTAGTGCAGTCAGCAAGAGCAAATAACTTTATTCTCCTTTATCAAGAGAAGTGATTTTAAATTTCATATAAAGGTACCTTTTAACTGCGGCCATATTTACCTTCACAGCAAAACTAATGGGATTTGCAAGAATGAGTATTGCTGCTAGCATAACTTGGTGTTAACATCCAAAAAATATGACACGGGTTTGAGTGTCAGGTGCTTAGAATGAAACTAGCTGCAGAATTATGTAGTTTTAACATCATGTCAAAGCATTAAATGTTGGGCGACAAGCACCTTACAAATGCAATTTATGATTTAAAAGAATGATGACACCCATCACAACTTGCTTATAGTGAGCTGCAGAGTGGCATGATTCGGGAGATTAAAAGCAAACCAACACAAAAACAAAAGCCAACCTTGTGGAAATGTGGAAAGAGAATGGTTGGAGAAGATGTACAACTTAGTTAAGGTGCCATCTTTTCAAATATTTCTGTAAAAAGATATCCAATGATCTTAAATTATTCTTATGAAAAACATTTCATATCTCTAACCTTCCACTGGTATTTCCACATCTGTTCCTTCACTGCAGTCGGAACCCTGGTGTCTTCCTTTAGACAAATATAAAGTAAAAAACATACCATAATAAAAATACAAAAGGAACTTTTAACATTGACTATTCAAAGCAAGGATTTTTGTAAGCAAAAAATCCAGAACTACAATGTTCACACAAGCAACATACAGAAGGCTCAATTTCTGAATCTTAAGTTCATGACAGTAGGAGCACTCTGACAGTAGAAAGAAATTCACAGTTTGCAATAAAGATTAGTATTTTCTAGTGTTTGCAAACTAGTAAATGAGTATTTTTAATACAGACTAGAAGAAGCTGACAAAAAAGTACAGTTTTGGAGTAAACTTATTTCAGATATTGTTCATGTACAGTAAGGAACTCCTTCCACTAAACACAGACTTTCTGTATACACCCAGTCACCTCACACACAGCTCAAAGAAAGAAATGATCAAGTTGTACTCATAATACATAAGCAGAAGTTTATTAAACTTTATAACCAATTATGAAAGAGACTGCATTTCATAAGAAACATCGCAACTTGCACAAATTATTAGTGCCTTAGTAATCAATCTGATGTTCTTTTTTGAATTTAGAAAAGAAATAAATTGGAATCCTTTCTATATGTCTTTCTACTTGGACACCTGAAAATTAAGGCTACTGAAACTTTAATATCCTAAATCTTACTTCAAATCAAGGAAGCAGAGCCTTGAAAAGTAAACCTCACACATTCAATTTCTAAAACAGATGTGAAAAAAATTCAAGCAAAAAATTTACCTGTGTAACTTTTTGCAAGAGCAATCCTTTCATCCATCTCTGATGTTTCAGAAGGGCCTGCTGGGGAACAAAGAGAACAGCTTTTAAATTGTGTCTCACAACAAACATTTTCCCAATCCAGAGAGAAATTTGCCAAATAACTCTTAATTTCATGTATCATATGCTCATTTCATGCTTTCTGTAATGCTGAACTTAGGAAAGACTGTGAAATACTAAGAATATATAAATCCTTACTCATCCAGTTCAACAGAATAAAAATGTTGAAAACTTAATGGCAAGGGTGTGCATTTCTTGGACTACTGAACAGTCAGAGACTCATGCAGAACAGCAGGTTTTCAATTTTTTTAGTGTTAATAAACTAATTTTAAAACATGAAATGCTGATGGTTCTGCCTTTTTTCAATGAATTTTTAATCAGCTAAAGCTTTTTCCTGTTTGTTAACATTTGTATTCCTGGGGAGTCCTTTTTGACTTCAAAATTTCTACCTACATTAAATAGTAAAATTCAGAGAGATTAAAATCATTTACGACATTTCAAGGTTGCTTGCTTTTCATCACAACAGCTCTTTTGATGGCTAGATACTGACTGCTTTAAAAAGGCTGTTGCAGAAAGCAGCACACAAATGACACTTAAAAGATTAAATTAACACCCCTAAAATCCTACTGCTTAATGCTTTGGCACTCCTGCAGTTACACAGAAAAGAGAGAACTGCTTACAGCACAAATGGCTTCACACTGAGCAAGAGATCATTCTATACCACGGAAATAGCATAGGTATATAAAACTAACCTATGTGTGGCATACAGGAATGTCACAGTAACTGGTGCTGAAGGATTTGGACTAATTGTTCTGTGTAAATCGAGTCATTTCTGGGTTCATTTGCAAGAGCAATCTGCAGAAGACCATATAGCTCCCCAGAAATTATGGCTGTTTAGATGTAGCTTCATAAGTGTATCAGCAATGAATATTAATACTTTCACAACAAAAAAGCTATTGTTAACTAATAACGCAAGTGAAGTATTTTCAACTCCATTTCATGTGCACAGTAAACAATATAGAAAGGCCTGTTGTCACAATCAGACTTCGTAAGTATTTCAGTCAACTGAAAGTACACATACAGTATCAAATACTATGAGTTATTCAAGAAAATTAATATAGAGAGATTGAAGAAAATAATGATTATTAGGTGGTTATAATAATTATAGTTTGAGATAGTTCTGCTTAATTTGATTGCTTAGATTTTCAAAGGGATTTTAAATTAACAGGATTTCAAGTGAGGAACCTGCACAAGGTTCTTTGTTTTACATGCATTTCTTTCAGTAAGTGCTGCTTTCACCTGCTCCTGACACTTTTTCTTTGCTGGGCGTTAGGGTGGGTGTGTTCATTTTGTTTTCTTCTATTTGTCTGTTTAACTCAGAGAAGCTCCCAGATTTGGTTCAAAATATGGCTCCAGAAAGAGTGGTACTGGCACAGCCGAGACCATAGTTCAAAGATGGGGAAAAGGGGGAGGAGGAAAAGGAGCAAGGCATTAGAGACACTCGTGGTGCCACATGATGAGGAGGGTCCCAATACGGAGAGTGGCCCGAGTAACGACAATCACCCCGATGCGGCGACACGTCGTCCCCCTCTACTGCCCGAATCGCTGGGTTATATCCTCTGCACTGCAAGCACCCGCTGTTCATGTGCCCCATACCCCTGGATTATTGGTCATAAGCAACTTATCACGCGCCCAAAGGGAAACTGTGATAGGCAAGCATCTTGCAGTTTGCTGCATACTTGTGCTTAGCTTAGCCAGACACATAGCTGAGAAAATTCCTCATTAACAGATACAGTTCCTCACAACACAGCCCTTCAAGGTCATCCTCATAACACAGGGGTTGTTAGCAGTCTGATCTCAGGCCTGGATTGTCCAAACCCTGCAACAAAACATCGTGGCCATTCTCTGTCAGAAATTCTACTACAACATGAGAAGAAATTCTCATCCAAATAGTGATTTGCGACCGCTATGGGTGAGCGAGGATAGAACACAGCCTCCCCGGCTTGCACTGGAAAACATCCCCGTGGACTAAACTTACTTTTATTTAAATAAGCATATTCAGTGTATGCTGCCAGATGGGTATGTCATTTCCCAAGAACTCTGAACATGAAATTGTTATAATTCATAATACACTGACACACAGAAGCATGCATCCCATTATAAGCAAATATCCTATTACAAGCACATTTTTGCATTTATTCCTTGATTCAGAAATCCTGACACGATTGTTTTACCTACATATTCTGCAGCAGTCTCTATACTGCATTATCATCATGCCAAATCCATGTTGTGACACAAATAAAAAAGGTAAAATAGGAGTCACTGACAAGTTCAAACTTGAAGGTAAAAAGATACACTTACTATGCTTACAGCCCTTGGGATTAAGCATGGAGAATTCAATCCCTTCATCTTTAATGTCAAAAAAACTACAGTACATGTAGTAAATCTATCAGATTTTTTTAAAGTGAACCACAGATTATTTTATGAAACTTGGAGCTTTTTTTTTTTCCCATATTATGAAGCTTTGACAGAGGAAAAAACAATGTGAAAAAATTGCTTCAGAAAGTAAAAAGTGTAGAACTATATATTCTGCTAGCTTAATTTAGTAAAGACTAGAAAATTAAAAGAATTCTGAAAGTTCTAGTACCAGGAGATATTAACAAAAGCAGATACATTTCTCCTTTACTGCATGCATGCACATAACAGGCAAATAAACACACATCACATGACTAAGAAAAGCAAAAAAAAACAAGTACGGTGGTCACCAGATCAAAAGTTCCATTTAGGAATAAAAGTATGAGGATATCACAAAAGAAAAAAGAATAAAACTCAAGAGAGAACAACTTAATTCCACTGCAGCTGGTAGGGTGCTGGAAGAAGGATGGTCACAAAGGTGGGAGATTTAGTTACTAAAACCAAAGGACACATTTGAAGTAAAATCTTGCAGTATGGTTATGTCTTGGAGTCTGAACTTAAGATTTGTAGGCAGAGCTAACCAATATCACCTTGTATCACAAAAAACACCAAATACACTTTGCAGTCAACAGCCAACTCTGTTGTGCAACACAGACACATCCAAATTCTGTAACAGACGAAAACTTTGTCTTTCATGAGCAGATCAATGACTGACAGACCACTGCACCTAAATCACATACTCAGTCTGGGATTCTGCATTGAAGTGAGACCTATGTAAAAGATGGCTATTGCCATAAATTGTAAACTTCTGAAATGCCTGTTATACTATGTAATTTTTTCACATTCTAACAATTCCCTTAAAAACAAGAGTAGATGTTGTTCCCTCAACAGACACAGATATTCCTTCTGCTTACCCATCAACAATCCACTTATACCCATTTCATATTTCTCAGCTTCACTTTCTAATGGATTATGTCCTAACACTACACAGCCAAACCCGTGCCACTTGGCAGAAGGAATGGATTTATCATCTCATGGATTAGCACCGTCAGTGATGCTCACTTCTCTGGTCTTTTTTTCGCTACACAGATGGTAGCAATGTGAACAACATGTAATTACAAGGGTAATATCAGAATGCCTTTAGGAAGCACAACATTATGTTTTCTTGTTTTCTCAATATATTCTCTAGAATTTCTTGGTTTAAGACAGTACGTACATGCTGCGTCTTACATTATGGTGGCTAGAGTATTGCCAGCCTAGCTTTACAATTTCAGCCCCATAAAAATGGACATTACTACCAATATTCTGGGAGATCTACCAATGTCGTGGTTTGAGCCTGGTCGGCAGCCAACCACCATGCAGCCACTCACTCCCCCTTCTCTTCCAGCAATAAGAAGGGACAGAGAGCCAGGCTTGGGGTTCGACATAGGACTGAGATGGGGAAAAATCCCCCTTTATGGGCACGAGCAAAAGCCAGACTTGTTAGGGGAAGAAAAAAAAGAACATACATTTATTACAGACACTAACAACACTTAACAGAGCAGGACAGTGAGAAGCATTGCCACATCTTGAGAACACCTTCCCCCCACCCCTCCCTTCTTCCCAGGCTCATTCTGATCCCGATATCTCTACCTCCTCCCCCAGTGGCGCAGGGGCAGGGAATGGTGGGTGCAGTCAGTGCTGCTGCTTCTGCCAACTTCCGTGGGGGGAGCTGCTGGAACTTCTTCCCCGTGCTCCATCGTGGCCTCCCTCTCACAGGAGACAGTCCTCCACAAACTTTCTCTGACATGAATTCCTCCCATGGGCCGCAGCGTTCCCCACACTGCTCTGTCACGGGTCACCAACTTCCTCTGACTGGATTCTCTCCCACAGCTGCAGCCCTTCCTGAGCTGCTCCGGTGTGGGACTCCTCCGCATGCTGAAATCCTCCCAGCACTGAATTACAGCAGCGGGGCTGCCTTTTCCCATGAGACCCCGGCCTTCTTCGGGCACAGAACCTTGATCATTCGAGCAGGAGCAACAGGCCATAAATCAATGTCTGCTCCACCGTAGATCTCCATGGGTGGCAGGGGGGGCCGCCCTGCCGTCTCCCCACAGGATACAGGGGGGTCTCTGCTCCGGCACACCTCCCCCCTCCTTTCTTCCTCCGTTCCTCCACTGACCTTGGTGTTCACGCAGCTGCAGCGACTCCTCCTCACAAGTCCGACTGCCTGTCACCACGTCCCTTCTTAAATACGTTATCACAGAGGTGCAGCCGATGGGCTCAGTTTCCCAAACAGAAGTGGAGCTGACTTGGAGCTGGGGGAGCTTCGAGAAGCTTCTCACAGGGGGCCGCCCCGATAGCCCCCTCCCCTGCTACCAACACACCCCACCACTCACTCAACCCAGGACACCCAAGAACTATTTTGTTTTAGAGACATACTAAAAGATATTAATGACTTTCAGTGTTCCAGAGTGAGAATAAAAGCACAGTTTACATTCCCATTTGGGACTTTTTTTTTAAAGCAGAAGATATTTTCAATCTCATTTGGTTTTGGATGAATGTCCTATATTTTAACTGCCTCACTAACATTTCCAGAAATTCCAAAACTGATAGCACTATTCAACCACATGGTGGTTTTAAAGAAAAACGGTACATGTCAGTAAAAACTAGCTAATAAGTGTTTTATATGCTAAATCAGTCAGTTCACTAGACAGTTGTTTATAAGCTGAATCAGGCAATTCACAGGACACACTGTTTATAGCCTCTTCCTTCCACTTCCAATTCTCTTGTTTTTAACTTCAAGGCATCAGTGGTAACCGAAGAACTGCATCCACGAAATTCACAAGATAACATGTCTCTTTCAGGAAATGTCTGGTCCTTAGTCAGCAAATTACTCAGTTCTGCATGGGCTATGTCTCCAAAAAGCCTTGCTTTACTCTGTGCTGATGAAGAGGATTGAAGGTAGTACATATCCCCAAGATATTTTCTCAACATGTTCCTGCTTCTTTGTAAATCAGGGTGGGGGGAGGGGAGGAAGAAGTGTAACTCTTAATTCTATTCTGTTAATTGATTCGGAGTTGTTCTCATTCTGGCACTGGTTTGTTGACCTAATTTTTTCCATCAAAAGCCTTCAAGACAGCCTGGGTCTTGTGGACAGCCTTCTGGATTGATGCATCAGCTGAACAGTCCCCTGACTGCAGGGAAGCTGGTATAGAAGCAAGGAGGACTTACAGGCACAAAGATGTATTTGTATTAACACAGTACAGAACACATGTGCTGCTACTTGGCATTAGGATCAGGCCCTGCACAAGCCCAGCTGGTCTGGAGCTCTGGCAGAAACAAAATGCCGGTCCTTCTGCAACAGCCATGGAAACAGATCTATTCCCACAGCATCGTAATAATATGCTTAATCTAAGAGTACAAACCACAGTTCAAGGACTAAACTACATTTCAACCACTAAACTAAGAAACAGCGTTTTAACTAATGTTTCTTTTCATAGAGCCATAACAACTGGTACTTATAGATAAGGTATATGCAGAAATATTAACAGTGATAGCTGGAATACTCCAGTATGTGTTATTTAGTCCTGCAGATCTCTGCTCAGTTCTTTTCCTCGTGTAGTCAACAATTAAAAGTCTGGACCTTTCTTTCAGAACAGCTTGTCTTTAGTGTCACCCAAAGCATTTAACACTGCAGTGACCTTCACATTTGTCCAGGATACTGGAAAAACACCCACTGCCATACTGCTAGTGCCCACTGATCAAAAATTGCCCCAAATACTCTGTCAAAACACCCACATGAAGTTTTTGATGGCTAAAGTCCGTATTTCTCAGTTGTCTTACTGTGTACTGCTAAAACATTTCTAAATTTAGTAACTCAGTACTAACTCACAACATCCAAACGCTGCAAACTACTACGAGACAATAAGAGATGAAAAGAACGTCCACCTACAGGTCTAATTTTCCCTCTAGTTTGATTAACAGGAGAATTTTGCACACAGTGCTTTGGTCAGTGTTGCAGATTTGTGAGAGGAAGTAAACACTCAGAAAAACAGTAACCATGAAATTTCACCAATAAATCATTTTCTCCCGGAAGCCCTGTTCTCTAACAGTTAAGTTGTTTCTTCTCGTAAATCGATAAGCCCAGCTTTTGCTTTAGGGTATTTTTAGTAAGTACTATGACCTTAGCTATTTTCTTTATATTGAAGCACATCCCTACAAAGGCAATGCTTGGGCAGACTTGCGTCATTCCTCAGGAACACACCTCAGGATAACTCCTTTTCTAAGGTTCACTTCTCTGCACAGCACCATCATGCACACACAGACCCCGATACGCCTCTTGAATTTATAGCTTTCTGTGCTTTGTACAACCTTTGGCTTGAGTATGAGCGGTAGCAACTCAAAGAAATGAAGGGGAAGATGCTTTGCTCTGTGGAAGGTGACATGACTTGACACGGCAATGTTATCTTTGAGCTCACAGCACCTCATCACTTCTAGCAATATCCTCAGTTTTACCTCACCAAGTTTGGAGGACTATACTGGGAGGGGAGGAAAGGGGCAGTTCTTAATCGGCACCATTTAATCTGCAAGAGATACAGATCGCTCTTCACCAAACAGAGATTTAAATTTGGAGTTTTGTAAAAGACAACAGAAATTCCCCCCTACCCCCCAAATCCACACTGCTTAGACTTCACTAGGGAAGCATATTGTATAAATGGGGTTTTTTAGTGCAGACAAACATGCCGCAGTACAATGGGTTACTGTTTTGTACGGAAGCAATTTCAGTACAGACTCTCTTCAAACAGCCTTGGATTACACTTTGGGCTATTGGCCAAATTCTGACATTGTTTTTATGCATTAAATGGAAACCCACAAGGGGCTGAAAAGCAAAAATTTGACAGGACTTGGCTTTGGAAGAAATGATGATTAGGTTGTCTCCCAAAAAATATCTATTTTTACTACATTATATCATGCCTGTAAAACCCCCCTGCCCCAAGGCTAGGCAATGTATAAATATGAAAAAAAGGTAACACCAGAGAATTCACCTTTCCAATTCTGAACTTGAGCAGTGACATTTTGCTATGCTGTATGGTTAAGATCTCTCTGAACAGTGCTCATACACTACTTGAGATGTGCCAGTACAAGAATATTGATTCTACAATCCTGTAGTTACATATTAAAGCACATTAGAAAATAATCTCAAGAATCTTTGTGTCTAAACATGCACAAAAACGTTATCTCAATAATATCTAATACTACGAAATGAAAGGATCTGCTGTTCTGTGTTTTATTGTTGAACATGCAGCTATCCTTCAGAGATGCGTGGCAGCTTGCCTGTGTTCCTTTGTATTGCTCAATTAACCTTATAACAAATGCAAACAGGCTGAAGTAATAAATTTAGGGTTCTAGTTATTTTATATTGCCATTTATAATCATGACTTCTTAATTACTGTTCATTTCAATCTACAGAAATAATGATTTCTTTTTTCCCACTCCTAGTTGAGGTTAACAAGCAGTATTAACTGGATACATGTAGATGAGGCAAAGCAACTGAGAGATACCTTAAAACATACGCAGAGCCTGAGTCATGGACCTCACAAATGTTATTATGCTTTATCTATATAAATAAACCTTTCAATACATTTTTGACACATACTGGCCATTCCATACAAGAAAAGTAATTGATACACTATAAAAGTTACTGAAACTAAAGAAAAGATTCAAGCAGTGCTCTGAACAGCATCGTTGTTATTATTATTTATTTCCTGTTTAAAGAAGTCACTGGAATTAGTCAGCACACTGGATCCTCAGAAAAAAAAACCAAAAACCAAAAAACAAACAAGCAGTTTAAGAGACTCCTGGAATCTCTCCTTCTGCCCAAACACACATATATGGGTATGCTGAAGTTGTACTTCAGCTCTTTTGGTATTCTTCAGAATAACTTAAGTGATAGCCAGAATGAAAATGTTGTCTCCTAACAGAGAGAAATAATTGCACATTTAATGACCAAGAACAAATAAATAGAGAGGCACAGAGAGCAACACTTAAGCAACCAACCCTTTCATGAGATAAACACGTATTAAAGTTAGTATCATTACCTGGAATATTGTATTGATAGTAGTCAGGATCATCTGATTCCTCCTTCACTGCTACTGTTGCCATTTCCAAAGAACTTCCTGTAGAAGCAACAAAGGAATCAAATATGGAAACTATTAATAACCAGATTCTTAAAAAAAGAAACAAACAAAACACCCACTGAAATCCTAGCTGGACTCTATTTAAAAAAAAAAAAAAAAAAAAAATATATATATAGTACTGAGACACTAAACTATTGTTGAGTTAAAACAACGGTAACAAACTGACCTGCTGGTTTCTTATGTTTCGGTTTGGTCACTGTCAGAAGGGATTCAGGATTAAATGCTTCCCTACAAACTAGGTATCCTTGCAATTGCTATCTTGGATCTGAAGAATTAAAAAAATTGTATCCTTCCTTTTTACCCACTACCACAGACAAAAAAGGAATCAATAAATTTTATCACTTGTTGTGAAAGTACTTCTAGACCTACTCCTGCTCACTCCTCTGTACAGCCAAGTTCAGATACAGTCTGCATCAAAGTGTGCTGCTGATGGAGCAACACCAAAGGTTCTCAACCGTTCTTGGCTTCCTTCAAGTGAAACATCTCCTCAGTAAGCCTTCACAGCATCCCCTAAAATGTTTTCAAAACATCCCAACAAAAGGAGAATTACTTAAAATACCTAGAACACAGCACTGGAGAAAGTTTGGGACTGACACGACAAAAAGCTCAAGCTCAAAAAAGCTCAAAAAGCTCTTCATACAGGGTTCCCAAACCACAAGTTTAAAGTTATGAAGCACAAAGAACTCAGGCGAAAAACTGGAATAAATACAAATACTTAATTCTTATACAAAATGCTGAGCAGTGTAGCCCAGCCCAACAAAAGGGAAAGTCACCTTATCTCTAAGCACATCAGCTTTAGTGAGATTATTTGTGCCTTCACCTCAAAGCGTACACTAAAGCACCGCTCTGCTGCAGATCACAGTGCCTTGCAGGATCATGTCCTACCTGCCGGGGAACTCAGGAATGCTTGGGCTTTTTTTTTAACAATAAATACTGCATTTTCCTATTTATTACTTATTTCCACTTTAGCTAGAAAATACACATTCTGTCATTTTCAATATTTTAGTAGTATTAACAAATAAACTAAGCTTTCTCTCCCCAATAGGGACAAAGTGATCTTGAATTAGAACAAAATAAACAGGATTTTCTTCTTTTCCACTTAAGACTAAACTATTTACAAATAAATTATTTTAGTCTACAAAATTTTACAAATCTCCTTCTAGAAATGGAAATATTTGGCTAAGGTTCAATACTTGACAAAAACTCCATGTGGACAATTTCAAGGAAATAAAAGTTTTTCCTTCTTACAAAGGATAGATTTTTAAATTCAGCCTTCTGAACAAAACTGACCTTTTTTTTTTTGCAAATAAGGGCAAAATTTTGAACATACCAGAGTCTTCATTTGGTTCCATTTTCACTTGAATAGGAGGACAACTACAAAAATAAACAAATCAAGCACATTGACATTATAAAAACCAAATATCACATTACTGGAAAGTTCTTCAAGCTTCACATGTTGTCAAATAAAATCAACCTCACAGTATTTTTCTCCAACTATGAACACAAAAGTGAAAAATGCTGCCTCTTGGCTTATCTAGTTCATCTCAAGGGAATTGCAGAAATCTCCTATCCCGACATTTTTGGGACATACATGATATTCAAAGCACATTTACCATTTAATGAGAAGCAAACTCAGAAGCACAGAAAATTGATCCCTGTTTCACATTAACTGATTTTTGATTTATTCCAGATAGAACCTCTTCATTTACTAACAAAAATTTTATTTTAGTTTTTCTAAGTGAGGAGGGGGAAGGAATCAACATTACATCTGTTCCCCATCGCTGCCATATCATAAAACATGACAAACTTGTCCCTGACTGACAGACTGTGAATTAAGGACGCTCATTGGGCTAATTAAACCAAGGGGAAACTTTGCCATCTGTTTAATTTTTTTAAAGTTTCCCCACAAATAATGGTCAAAAGAGAGAGAAAATTCAGCTTCATGCTTTTTATAATTCCAGGCAAGCAAAAATTATCCAAAGGTCAGCTGGACAATAAAGCACATTAAGATAAACTATGTGAAAATACATAGTCGATACAAACAAAACTACATTATTTTAAATTCACCTTCCACCTGGAGATATAACTGAATGTGAAGGATCTGTCATACGAGTTCCTGAAAGTTAAAAGACAATCTTTGAATTTACTGTACTCCATTTACCTTAAATACAAATTGAAAATGTAACATTGATTTCACGAAGTGAAAACCTGTTCACATTTTACAAGCATATGTGCATATTTCCTGCATTCACAGATATGAGGGAAAGATCTTATTAAACTGCTTTATTAACCTATAGAGCAACAACAATATAAAATTGCTTCAAACGTGCATTTCACCGTGCTTTTCACTATTCTCTTTCATGGCACTAAGTGAAAATCTTAGGAAACAAAGTTTAACAAATCTTTCACCTAAAGTCTGGTAAAAGAAAATGCATAGTTTTATAGAGATTTATCTTAGTCCCAAATTACAGCTAGACACAAATAGATTATGTTTTTAGAAAGTAATTTACCACACTGAAAACCTGTCTTGCATTTTCAATAGAAATATTACCAGAATCTCTGTAATTTCCCCACTCTCCAGTCTTCTTACTGGGCACAGGCAACACATTACTAATTTTACTAATCCAGCAGCTTCTGGCTGCTTCACTAAGAAAGTGAAACTTTTATTTTTTGATTAAGTTCCCGTAAAGATTACTTCAACCTCTTCATAAAATAAATCCTCACATACAACAATTTTGCAAGTAAAGAAACATGATTCCATGAAAGGAAGAGGAGAAGGCATTTCTTCTAAGCTAGAAGTGAATCTTTGTGGAGTTTTAAAAAACTCACTCTAGCTCAGATTTTTTAATATACAGAGGCTTTCATAAGAACTAGAACACCTAGCCACTTCAGAAGATTAAATCAATTTTAAAAATGAGATGTAAATGCCAAAATCAGCTACATATTGGAACACAGAGCACTGCAAAGTCTTGGCATCTTCTAAAAATGCAATGTGGTCCTTCATCAGTTCACTTCTTTCCCTAGGATACTATCCAATTCACATTAAATTTAAATTCAGTAAAAGGATGAAAAATGCAATAGAAAAAACCTAATCTCTAATTAGTTGCTCCTGGCAGAATGCATAAAGGAAGAGGTTATAGTTCCAGAAGTAAGGCAACCCACAATCTAGGAATTTGTGCCCAGTTTGTCACTTTATCAACATGCCCAAATCTTGTACCTATATTGCTATCTAAACTAAAATTCTGATCTGTTTCTGTTTAGTCTGAGTAAGTAGTAACTTACCTAGGTGTTTCTTTGGCTCTAGGAAAGGCCTGTGTGGAAATATGGAAAGAAAAATGCAAACCTTTAGTGAAGACATCATTACTCACTTGGTAGTGTAACATTAAAGGGAGAGCATTCCTGTTTGAAAGAAACAGGCTGCAATCTAATTAATTAAAAATTAAAATTGACTTAATTTAAGTAGACAGATCAGCATAAGTGAGAGCAAACAACCTCTTGATGATAAATGAGATCCCTGACTTGTTTTCCAAAATCCATTTCAGGGTTGAAACATCGTAATTTTCTGGATGTTTGAATGCAAGTCCTTCGGGCAGGCCCTGCACTACCATAGCAGACTGGTCCCTCTGAATCTTCTCATATGGCACAGGTACCACTGTTGACTTTCCTAAAGCTTTACCTAGGGGAACAAAAAAAAAAACAACAAAAAAAAAAAAAAAAAAAAAAAAAAGGACATTGTTTTGAGGTCAAGAGCACCCAAGTTAGCAAAAGGATGAGTCCGTCCCAAAACTTTTTACTTTGGAGATGATGGGAGCGAAAGCAAGGTGCAGATGGAAATCTCTACAGGAAACCAAGTAGCGCTCACATTAACATTCACTGGAACACACTGAGATACAGAGGCTTTCTTGAAAGAAAAATAAATAGGCTGTGCTGTGCTACAGCACATCCTAGAAAACACATCAAGGAGAAAACTATCCAATATAAGTCAGTGTTTTAGAATTGGTTACTCAAAGTTAAACTTATCACCTTAACTGCAGTAAGGTTGGAAGGCTAAAATAATGCAGTACTTTCCTCACAACTGGAATAAAAATTTAGAAATCCAGAACAGCTGTTTAGAAGACCTTTAAGCACTCACCATAGCAAAAGCAGAAAAAGTCCTCCACAGACTTTCTGAGAGCTTCCAGTTCCATAATATCCACTGTCAGTCTGTTTACAGGTGACACAGCCTTTGTTTTCTGCAGTTCTGTAGCTCTCTCATCTTCTTTAACACCTACAAGTTAATTGTAAAAAATAAAACAGTAAATTATTAAAACTCCCAGTACCTATTCCCTCCAGTTTAGACGATATACACTCAGGAAGGATTCCTGCCAGAAAACTGTAAGAACCATTTGCCTTAGAAACAAATGCACTTATCTGTGTACATGAGCAATGAGTAAATTTAAATTTACACCAAAATTATTGTATCCTCCTTACAACCTTTGCAAATACCATCCTCTGAGGAATAAGCATGATGAATTAAGAGACACATCCAAGCAGGCTTTGTTTGGCACGAAGAAGTAGAAAACACTATTAATCTCAGGAGAGGATAATACAGTAGAAATAAAATGCAAAACTGCTAAGAAAAGAAGGACCAAGACAGTCAGTGGGGAAAAAAATAAAAGGCCTGTGTGGTGAGGCCCCTAGCTCCCTAATGCTATGCATGATGTCGTATGTAGCAATTATCCCCTGTTTTGTTTATGCTGTATGTGCCTAGCTAAACTTTCTACAGAAGGGATCTGACTTTTGCCATAACAGCTCCTATATCTTTCAAAAGGCATTTTAAGTACACATCTCTTAATGCAGAACAGCAGTTGCAAGCAAGCCATCATCATGCAGAACAGAGAAGATTTCACCCCTACACGTTGTTCTAGTCTCTGAACAGAAGTCATTGCAAAAGGAGTGAGGGAATAACAACGCTTTCAGTAATAAAAAGCAAACAGAAGTCATTGTTTCAGGTGGCAGCCTTCCTTCCTTATTGTTCAGTTCTCACAAAGATTTGCTGAGAAACACCCAGCAAAAATAGGGGAAAACAACAGAGATATTCTGCATATGCATCGTGATTTAGAGCCAGACAACAACTGAGCACCACACAGCTGCTTGCTCACTCCTCCCTGCTCCCAGTAGGATGAGGAGAATCAGAAAAAAAGTAAACCTCATGGGTTGAGGAAGAGCAGTCTAATAACTAAACTAAAATATAATAATAATAAATAACGACAACAACAAAAATATAGAGAAATAAAACCCAAGAAAAAACAAGTATTGCACAGTGCAATTGCTCACTACCTGCTGACTGATATCCCAGCAGTGATCCATTCCTCCCAGCCAATCCTCCCCCCCCAGTTTATATACTGGGCATGATGGTCTATGGTACAGAATATCCCTCTGGCTCGTTGGGGTCAGCTCTCCGGGCCCTGCTCCCTCCCAGCTTCTTGTGCACCTCCTCGCTGGCAGAGTGCGGGAAACAGAAGAATCCTTAACTTAGGATAAGTGCCACTTTGCAACAACTAAAACATCCATGTGTTATCAACATTATTCTTACATGAAATCCAAAACACAGCACTGTACCAGCTACTAGGAAGAAAACTAACGCTATCCCAGCTGAAATTAGGACAGTATGAAAGAAAAAAAGAAAAACAAGGGAGATCTGTGTTCCTATGTGCAAGGGAATGATCAGTGCTGAAGTTGCCCCCAACTTCACCCTGGGCAAGCACAACGGTAAGTCTGAAACACTTTGATTTGCATTACCAGTATTGATGGCATTGTAATTCTATGCTAATACAAGGAAACAAACATCAGTTTGAACAACTGATTACAAATGGGTTGTGAAATGAGCTGAAGCAGCAATGCTTTTAGTAAAAACACATTTATCATCTTAAAAACGCCCATCTTAATTTAGAAAAGTCTCTTTCTTCCTCTACAGATCACATGTCTGCTTTGTGCCCTGGAAGCTCACCTCCACGCAACATTTAGCTCTGCAGCTCTTCAGGCCTGAGACTTTTACTTTCCCTGCAATATGACAAGGCCTACCATAGAACAAAAATAATGCAAAAGTGTAATATTATATACTTTTAACACAGGTACTTAATTAACGACAGCTTGTAAGGTTTGCCTGCAGACTCAGGGATAAGAGACATCAGTTTCTGTTTATAGCTACATGCAATGTCGCTTTTTGGGTGGATTTTTTTCCCCATAAGAGACTGATTCACTGAAAACGCCTTTACTGCCAGTAGCTTCTCGAAAGTGTACCCACACTTTCTAAAAATAATAAGCAAACCAAAAATAAGATGATGATACTGCTCACTTCCCATTAAAATGAAAAGAAGACAAAGTCACAGAAAATTTTCTTCACTAGAAGAGAAACCCTTATTGTTTTTTTATGAAACTATTTTTATCCATTTTCTTAAGCTCACATTATGCATCTGTCTCCCTAATCTCTCCTACATTTGTTGACCAATTTCAATCAAATCTGACAAACTAGATCAATTCTCAAACACATTAAGATTTATAGGAGCTCTGCGCAACTGATCAAGCCTGGGAACCATTCATCTCCTCCTGACAGCACTGCCAGACACATCTCTGCTTGCTGGAGGTTACACAACTTCCAGGCTCTGTCGAAGCCTTCACCACAGCTCCCAGAGCACCCAGCAGGATCCAGGCTGTGCTTGGGAGGAGATGCCTGGGACATGGGCGACAAGGGCTGGTGGATAAGAGGGATGGGGGCCTGTATTTACAGGGTAGATGGCTCAGGAAGGGTGAGGAATGGTTATATGGTGAAAGAATTGCATTCTATAGAGCTGGGAGCATACTGCAGGATTAGTCCAGTTCCTCTGCAAAAACTGTTCTGGATTCAGCAGGATTACAATGACCCAACTCCTAACAATCCTCATTTTGCACTAAGAGTCCATAAATGGTTGAGTGTCTCTTATGTGCCTGTACTATCCAGGTTTTGGTTACTCAGAACACCCTTCCCTCTTACTTGTCCTGATCATCAGCAGCCTGGGTTTGACAGTCCCACCTACCACTTGGCTGGAAAAGGAATCTCCCAGCTTTGTAAGGATGTCACCGTCCTTTTAAAATGGATATAATATAAAATGAATATGCTGCTTTAAATAAAAAAATAAAAAAAAAAAAAAAAGGAAGCCCTCTGACGAACATTTTTATGACAGAACAAAAATCTGAATATTTGAAATTATCAAATCTTGATTTTGGCAATTGTTGCATGGCAGCAATTAGACAGCTACATCCTGACATCTGTATGGGCAGACACTATAGTGTCCTGCCTTAAACAGATGCTGTTATGTTTATAAATTGATAAAGAGAGTTACAGCTCAACAATGTTATACAACACTTATTCTGAAGGTCCAGTAAAGCACAGTCTGAGTGCAGCAGACTAAACGAGGCCATAAAGCACATCTGTCTTCAAAGCACCTGATTCAGAGGTAAGGGGAAAGCTGCAGTTTGGAGGAGGCAGGCTGCCTTTCTCCTGCAGAGCAGAGCACGCCCTGCTGGGTCACGCTGCAGACACATGACAAAACCAGCAATGTCCACGTCTCACCAAAGAATAGCAAACAATCAAGCTTTAGCAGAGAAACAATTCGCTTAATGGAAATTTCCTCAAAAATGTGAGCTGAAGATGATATGCTACACAAGCAACAACAGATAAAAGCTTGTAGGATTCAGTATGTGAAGCTGATGGAACTCAACACTCCTCTTGCAAAAGAGCTGGCAGTCCCGTGGTACGTAAGGCATCTTACAACATCAGAAGGCTTTTAATAAGGTGGTTTTTGATCCCCCAAGTAGAGAAAGCCAAGAAGTGATTATAAGAGTAGGAATGTCATCCCTGTGCAGACACTCTGAGAGGCAACTTAAGGGCAACAATTGTTTTGTGTCAACACTCATGTACAAATATTTTATCATTTATGCTTAAGGAAAATTACTCTGAAAATAACTATGAGCAATGAAAGAGGGAAAGTAAATGCATGTGTGGCTAAAAGGGTTTTGCTTTGTTTTATAATGCATCCACTCAGTTCATCTGTGAGATTTTTAAGGCCATCCAGTTTTACAGTTCAGGAAATTGAACAATAACCTCAAATTAAAGAAAAATAATTTTATGATTATCAAAGGATCACTTAAACCACAAGCAAAGCAAATCACCTGAGGCAGAATTTATGTGCCAGGGAATTTCAAAAAGATCAGCTATCTACAGTAATTTTCTGTTTGTGACTGAGGAAACGAGATGGGTGGTCTCCACTGAAATGTGACTGAACTTAGGAAGCTTTTTAAGCTAGCTGTTAGCTTCACAGCCCCTAACTTGGCTGGGGAGAGACAGAACATGAACGGTTTCTGACAATCAAGCCAAGCAACCTTGCTCTAATAAGGTTATAAAAGAGGCCAGTTACCCAAATTTGAAATAAACCCAGAAAAGTATCACAGAACTCTGAGCTAGGCAGGGCATGGCTAAAGCTAAAGGTGCTGGAAAGAAGAGGCATCCAGACTGGCACGCAACATGCAAGAGTCTGTCCCTGGCACATCTACAGAGCCAGAGAGGCAGGCAATGGAAGAAAGGAAGCACCTCTGAGGAAGGGAAGCAGAAAGTGATCTTATAAAACTCTTTAAAAATAACTTGTGTCCAACCACATAACAGAAGTTTTGAAAATGTATTTTTCTTTTCATTTTGAGAACTTAGGAAAATCAGTAAACTGACTTGTAAAACAACAGAAACTGCCAGTAACGTAAAACTTAAGAAAAACATATTAATATACCCTAATGCCATGAGAAAGGACTTGCAAAGGAGACCATCAAAAATGCATCACTAGCCAGGGCATCACCCACTTCAGGTAAAGGCCTGTTACCAGCCTGGGAAGTTGGGGAAAAAAAGAAGGGAAGGAGAAGAGTAGTAGAAAAGAAAAGGAAGATAATAGCAGGCCACGTAAAGCTAAAAAGATAGAATTATTTTCACGTCTTTCGCAAAGATCTAGGCTATTAATGCAGAGTTCAGCTAACGAACACATATTAATATGTGATAAATATGCAGCATGGGACAGCTCAAAAAATACATTTGCATTTCAAAAGGTTAAGGCAGAAGGGGACTGTAAGCTGAACCACTTAAGTGAGCTCAAATGGAGACAACAATGGCAAAAAAAGCAGCTCTTAAAGTAAGAAAGACAGGGATGATTGCTTTGCATTTCATTTTTATTACTTGCAACTGCAACTGTTTGGTGAGTGCTAGGA